GAACTCTATGTGCACTAGCTGAAGTTGGTCAAGCGCCCAAAATATTAGCTTATATCGATCGTAAAGGTCGTCCTCTCTCTGCTGTCACATTGTCCATGATCTTAGGATTTATTGCTTATATCAATTGTGCAAACGTTGGTACAGCAGTATTTAATTGGCTACTCGCCCTTGCGGGTTTATCTAGTTTATTTACTTGGGGTTCTATATGTGCATGTCATATCATGTTTCGATTAGCATGGAAAGCACAAGGTCACACTTTGGATGAACTTGCCTTTGTGGCACCTTTTGGTGTGTGGGGAAGCATTTATGGTCTTGTTCTTAATATTTTATGTCTCATTGCTCAATTTTATATAGCCATATTTCCTGAACATGATAAACCAAGTGCTCTTGCATTCTTTCAAGCCTATCTTGCAGCTCCTATTGTACTTATCTTCTATATAGTTTGGAAAATATGGAAGAAAACACCATTTATGAAGCCCAGTACAATAGATCTCGAAACTGGACGACGTGTACTTGATACTCAAGAACTTATTGCCGAAGAAAAAGCGGAGCGCATGGCTCGACCTTGGTGGAAGAAATTATTGTACGAATTATGCTGAACTATTGTACGTTATATAAACTTACTATTTAATCATTTTTTCTCATTTTATTATATACATAAGTCAATAGCATCGTAGGAGTTTTCTGTTCTTTATCTTATAATTATATTCTTTTCCAATATTCAAAGTAAGATGATACAGAGATGTGTTTTTAGAGAGTCCTATATATTAACTGAATCTACCACCTATCGATAGAAAGCATGGTGTATGGTATTTTTACTGGAACAAAGAGATGGCCTTGAATAATTAAGTTTGATTCTCAACATAACACCCGATCATCAAAGAACAATCTTTGAAATAAATTGTAACTTGTTTTTATATCTATCAATTTGTTCACTTAATTTTTTTCGCTTTTTGTACAAACAAAACGCAACTATACAAGAAAAAAACGAGTAGACCAATAAGAAGAGCACACAAAATTTATTAGCATGCACTATTGCATGCTTTTATTTGAAAGAAAAAAAAAAATCTATTGTTCATCATGAACAATAACAAATAGTAAAGAAGAATGAAGAAAGTACGAACCGGTCAATTTGTACATAAGAACGTACAGGATAATAAAGTTTGATCGAAAAGAAAAAAGGGTAAAACACACAACTTCTTTTAAGATGACAGCAAAAAAAATAAATGTATTATAGAAATAATATTAAGCCGATAGACAAAAGATAGATAACACACACAGATATATGAATCACAGTGGAAGAAAAAAAATCTTTTATTTTTTTATATCGCTTCTTTTTTTAAAGGAGTTGATACATATCGACAATAATATTCCTATACTAAGGTGGATGAAAACGTGTATATCTTGCACTTTCTGGATGAATTTCCATTTCAGAACTTTTATATTCATTAAGTTCTCTTCGTATAAGTTGTTTATCGCGTGGTGTTAAACGTGTCCATGGTTTATCAGCACGTCGATCAACATCATCACATTCAGATACTTCGATATAATCACAAAAACGTATTATTTTTCGATCACGAAGTTCTAATAGAAGAAAAAAACAATAATATATATATATATATATATAAATGTAAAAGTTTTCATATTGTATACCTTGAATACTTGGTCGAAAACTAAGTTTTCGTATTAAATAACGTTTTTTCTCTTCTTTTTCAGCAATTAATTCTGCTTGAGTTTTACCACGTAATATATTTCGTGCTTCAAGTTCTTCCGGTCTTGGTCGTAATGATAATTTACGTTCTAATTTAGTTTCAATAGTTTCACGTTCATTTTTACGTTCGTCTAATGGTTTAACAAGAATATGTTTATCAAATAATTCATTTGGTAATGGCCGATCTTTAAGAAAACGTGCTAATGAATCATTACGTTTAACATTAGCAAAACGTTTTTTTGGTTCATGATTTTCATCATCAGATGATGATGAAAGTTCATCTGAATCACCATTCTGTTCAGAATTTACTATTGTTGGTGTTGATGTTGTTGATGGACCATTAAGAACAACAGATTTTAATTTTGGACTTGGCCGTGGTGATGGACGTTGATTTTCTCGAAAAACAGGAATAACACGACGTTTAACACCATTAGGCTTTTTTAATGCACTTTTTTCTGGTCGCCGAGATAGATCAGGTTCTTTAGCAAGAATTTCTTCATATCTTGTTGTATCTATATCTTGTATACTACTTTGTTTATTTTTTTGAATGACTGGTGTTGATGAAGAATTTGTTGTTGATGGTGATGATGATGATGATATATTTGAAATTTGTTTTTCATTTGTATTATTATTTTGTACAGGTATTGGAGAAGAAGAAGAATTCGTATTATTTACAGGTGAATTTCTTGATTGAAATTTTTCTTTTAACATCGTAGTTGTAGGATTAATATTAGCATAAATAACATTATTATTATCATTTGTTGTTGAATCATTAATTGGTTTAAATTGATTAGATGTAAATTTATCATGAAAGGCAACATGACGTTCATCATTTGTATTAGATATTGACGGAGAATATGGATTTGTAGTGAAAGTTGATGATGAAGTAATAGGTGGGGATGAATTATTATTATTATTATTCAAATACTGTGAACGAATTGGTGTAAGACGATTTATATCAGGTTTAGGAGCAACTAAAAAATAAATAGAACAATTAATTAAGATTGAAATAAATGAATACATACCAGGAGGTGGAATTCTAGGTAAATTGGATGATGATGTTGCTACAGGCATTTTACTATTAGGTATTTCTGTTGTTGTTGTTGATGAGGCACTAATAGATGCTGGCGTAGTTATTCTTAAATTGTCCGTGAACTGTACAGGTAACATTCGATGTGTTGATGCAGGTACTGGTCGAGATGTAGATTCTGTAGTAGTAGTAGTAGATATTGAAGAATTTGCCCAAGGTGATTGAATATAACCTTGATTGTTCGTTGGCGGTCGATCAAAATCAACTGTCGTACTATCAACATTATTTGATCTAAGTGATGATGGAGCAATTTGTTCAGTAACAATAATTCGTTGCGGTGATGTTTGATTTGAAATTGAATCAACTGATAATGAACGTATAGTTGTCGATGGAGGAACTTGTGACAGATCATTATCACTTGTCATACAACGAGCAGTAGATGATGAAGGTGGAGGTGGTGTAGAAGTATTTGTTGATATAGTTGGTGATGGATGTCCTGAAGATGCTGATAGCTTTCTTTTTGTACGCCATGAAGAAAAACCTTGACGTAACATTTTTTGTATAGAAAATTTTCCATTTGTATTACTTATACGTTTAGTTGCATCATTAGAATTTATAGTTGAATCGTTATCAGATGATGTCATATAATTAGTTCCATTTTCTATTGGAACTACATCTCTTTTATTTGTTGTTGTTGTTGTTGTTGTTGCTGCTGTTGTATTTTGATAATGATGTTTTGGCATTGTAGATATTTTAGGAGTAGTCTGTTGCTGATGTTTTTTTGATGAATAATCGTACGAATCACTTGGTATAATTGTTGATATGTGATGAAGATTATTGTTATTATTATTAATATTTGGTGAATTTATAAGTCCAACATTTTGATATGTTGCCATAGGTGAAATCACATCCTTAAATAAAAGCAAATATAAATGAATGAAAAAGAAATCGAAATTGAGTATTTATATATTATTCGATCATCGCCTCTTTTTCTCTCTTATCGTTCTTATCAATAAATATATATATATATAAAGAAAGAAGCAAATAATCAGAAGAATAAGAGAAAAAAATTGAATAGCTTAAGTGAACCATATCTACCAAGGTTGAAAAGACATTTGAAAATTCATCTCATATACATGTTTATACGATGTGTCATATGGATATAAGTATTAAAAGTAGAAAAAAATGTAAAAGAAAAAAACACATGACAAATGCCAATAGGTTACATTATAAATTTATATCACATTAATAAATCAATTAAAAACATACCTTGTCATTTCTTTTTTTCATTCTTATTAATAATGTCATAAGATTAAGTATGTATGATAGAATGTTTTTCAGCTAAATATTGTTGTCGAGAAAAAAACAACTGCTTTACTGATCTTAATAATAGTAATGTTTTTATCTATTATAATCTTATTTCTTCTGTTCTCTATTTCAAAAGAATACCAAATCTTTTTTATTCGCTTACTGTCTATGCAAGTGATTGAATATATTTGTACGTAATCACAAATGAAGGTCATTTCGCCTACTCACATCTCATTTGTCTTTTTGTATTGAGATGCATCAATACAAAAACAAAATAACAGTTTGGCCTTTTTAACTATATTAGTCTGTTGTTTACTCCTCAACTGTATCTATCTAGCTATATCTATATACATATGTATATAGATACAGATACATACAACTATATATATGTATATATAAAAAAACAACTATGTTCCTATCCACCTTTTTCTTCTCAAACTCTCATTACGATATTTGGCATCTTGTCCAAGAAAAAGAATAATGATTAATTAACCGAAAAGAAAAACATATATAACAAATCAAAATTGATATATAATTCATTGAATATAGTACATATATATATAGAAAACAAATGAGACATGTATAGACAAGAGCTTACCGATTGCTATATATAAGGCGGGAGACGATAGAAAATTTTTTTATTGATAAATCCTAAAACAATCAGTTATAGAAAAAGAATACAACGTGAGACGGCTATGAAAACAAGAGAATCGATGTCGCAATGTCAATATATATACAATTCTCTTTCTTATACGTACGAATGAATTACGATTAGTTGTAATAGTAATTTTGTGAAGACATCCGTATAGATTGTATAGAAGAAAGATAATACATCAAGTATGAGAAAGAGAATCAACAACGCAAAATATATCTTTTATACGGAAGAAATATTGTAATAAATGAGCAACATTCTTTCGACATATATATATATGCAGCTGATGCATAGAACATAAAAAAAGGCGTATTTGCCACAGCTTTTATCTGCTCGAAAATATTCTTCAAGAGTAATAAAGACTCATATACACATGCACAGATTGGCATATAGGATAAGGAGAAGAGAAAGGGAAGAGAAGGAATGTTTTGTTTGGTATATAGAACTCAAATTACATGCATTCATAAGACGAGAACGAAAGAACTTTATCTAACTTATTATTCTTGTCTATAAATTACTATGTCATAAAAAAATCAATATTGAAAGGTAAAAAATGATGTTAATATATCAGATATAAGTGAAGTTGATATATATATTTATTTGAAAACTTACACCGGCATCATTCGAAACGTAATTGAAAATATCGTCGCCATTTTCTTCGTCCTCGTCTTCGTCATCATCATCATCATCATCATCATCGTCGTCATCATCATCATCATCATCATCATCGTCGTCATCATCATCATCATCGTTAATATTGTCATTTTCTTTCTCATCGTTATAAATTATATTGATATGTCCATTTACTTCATCATAGTTTTGGTAATAGTAATCATCACCAACACTACGAGATAAATAATGTCGTTGAGAATGACGTGGTTTACTTCTTAGTTCAATACATCTATTTAGGTTTGCATATAGAACAGGCGGAGATTTTTTATTAACTGGTGAGTGACGATAGATACCGTATGCACTTGTAATACATGGTAAGTTAATATTATTATACGATCGGTTTGATACAGCTGCATATTGTGCATATGATGCTTTTGTTGCTCGATTTAATGTCGCATATGTACTCACACGATCTTTAATTTGTTGAGCATATCTTGCATGATATTTATTCTCATATAAACGTCTTGTTTGTATTGCTGCTGCTGCTGATGATGATGGTGATGAATATTGTTTCGATGAGATAGGACGTTTATGTTGCCAGTAAATATCGTTCATTTTTTATATTTAATATTTAGAATTTCTTATGTTCACTTGTATTTCGCGTATGTATGTGAAATCAATGTAATGAAACACTTATTATTACTCATAAAACATAGAGTAAAGAGAAAAAAAGTGACAAGTAACAAGCGACAATATTACAAATGAGATTTTTTTTTCTTCAATTTCAATCATCTTTTTTTCTTCTTCTTCTTTCATTTACAAGTATATAAATGCATTCGAAGCAAAAGAAAACGAAAATGAAGGTTAAATCTGAAATCGTACAACATGAAGGCGTATCAATTGGATGATGAGAGTAAAGCGAATAAACGTAAAGAGGAGAAGAAGAAGAAGAAAAAATTAAATATATTTCAAACGGCTAGTTGCCTAAACAAATTACTTGAGAGAATAAAAAGGTCAAGGTGTGAGTGCGCGTGCGTATGTGTGGGTACACAGGTTTATTTTTTTAAATAATAAAAACATTTGAATTACTTACCAATCGATCAATTTCCAAACAAACGTAAGAAGAACATCGAAGTTTTTATGAGTACGATAAGTATCTTAAAAAAAAATAAAAAAATAAAAAAGAGCTTCGAAGAATTAATTTTACAACAAGAAAAGATCTTCTCTTGATGATCTACTGTATAATAGAACTATATATAACTACAGATGATTGTACTAATCTATCAATCTAATCTCGTACGAAGACATTAGATCAATGAATGAAATATAACAGCTATCAATCGTAAAGCAAAAAAGAAAAAAACAAGAAAATGATAACAGAACATGTGACGACATACTATATTATTGTAGAACTATGATAGATAACAGAACATTCTAATTATAATTTCCTACTAAGAATTCTGATCAAAGTATAACGTAATACTTTGTTTCAAATAACAAAAAATTTATATTGTCTATAAAATACTTGTTATTGTCATTATTTCGTAACAAAAGATATTATCTGAATATCTTTTTCTTTTGTTTGACATACTTTTTATTAAAAACAATGTTTAGTTCTAATGAATCATCATCTAAATATTATACACATCTGTTTGTTAAATAATTCAACCAACCAATATTAGTATCATCTAGTGTCATCTATTTCTATAGGAAATTTATATTTAGAAAAAATCAAATATATATAGAATAAAAATATTGTAAAATAATTAAATTTTACAAATTATCTATAATATTATTAATGAATTTTCAAAAATTCGTTACCATGACATTTAAGTAATTTTCAAGTTTACTGTTAGTGTTGTATGTAATCGATTATCAATTGAGTTTAAAAAACAAATAAATGTTCGATGACTATAATACATCAAAGTCAAACACATACAATGGAACATTCAATTGTTTTTTCGATTTCATTTTATGAGAACGTGACTATTCAAAAGCGTTGTAGAAATTACTTAACGGTATTTTTCTTTCATTAATTAAAAGAAAAATAAATAAAAATAAATTCTAGATTTGAAATTCATTTATCATTAATTTAAATATCCAAGTCGAAGTCGATAATGGATAAAGAACGACAAAATAAGCCCTATGTTGATCGTTTTAATGAAAGTGTCACCGGTTGGCACCAACCAAACGATCTCGATCTTGCTCGAATGAAACCAACTTATAGTCCAAATGGTACTCCATCAAAATTGCGAACGTATGTAATACTTATCTGTAGATATTTATGTCTGAGGATAAAAAGATTAGATATGAATTTACAATTTATGATCATATAATAAAAAATAATATTTGTAATAAACATTAATCATGTCATATCCTTCAGAAAGACAAGTTGTTGTCAAAAAAGAAAAAGAGAACTTAATCAAAAACTAATTTAACAAAGACAGAATATCCTTCATACATGACAGATTTAGTCTACCATTTATCAAAAATAAAATATTTCTTTTCAATAAAAATATTAAAACTATTCTAGATTGGTAACTCCGCCCGGCACTGAACCCTATCGAAATACTTATAATTTACGTAAATTAAATGATCCATTGCCATCACTTAGTGACGTACAGTAAGTCTTTAGTTGAATATTATTTTTTTTATTAATAATGAATTATCTAGTACTCCAGCAAATCATCTTGATACATGGGGAGTTGATCCAGTTGATTATCGTTTAAATCAAGATTTACATTCATTTATTAGACAACCATCACCTTTAGCAGATTATGGTTTAGGAAATAAAAGTCAAAAACAAAAGAAAGTAATGAAGAATAAGAAAAAAAGCCTAACAAAGAAAAATACTCTTTTATTCAATTAGTCGTACATTGTAGTACCTCGTCTATCCACCCTTCCAACTCCACCTGTTAGTAGTGATGGCATTGATAGTAGATATTCATTAATTTCTCATCGTGTAACATCAACTCATGTTCCTGATTCTCAATATAAATATCTTGAATCATCTTCACCAAACTATCGACGTGTAAGTAATCTTATTGATCTTTTATGTTGTTATTGCCTTTATATAACTTCGAATAAATCCTTTTTTTGTTGTATTTATATATGATATCAATGAAAGATAAGGAAAAGAAAAATACAATATTTATTTAGGAACGTTCTGAATCTGTTTTTATGCGAAAAAATCAAGCATTTGCAAGTCATTTTATCGACGATTTTATTAGTAAATATATTGCGGATCAATTAGTACCTGATCTTCTACTTGAAGTACTTAGCGAACTTGATCAAGAAGTAAGTAGATTTATTTCGAAAAATTAACTATTTTTTTGTTCTATTTTTTAAGAATAGAAAAGCTGTAGACGAGAAAACAGTTAAATTTGAAGCAAGTGAATATATAACTGAATTAAATAAACGTATTGGTGTTAAAGACGGTGATACAAAGTATATTTTAATTTTTATATATGCAATTTTTTCATCAAAAAATTTTTTTTTATTTAGTTTATTTTCTGACGAATGGATACGTGAACTTGATTATCAACGTCCACCAATTCCTCTATCAATTATCGATACAAACAAACCACTACAAAAAAAATTAGATTTTCGAGATCTTTTAGCTGAATCTACAGGATACACATACGGAGGAGATCAACAAATGAGTTCTGAAATACACCATACGACTACAAAACTAACTAATGAAACCTACAATAATGCCGTAAGAATAGTTAAATTTAATATTCATCTTTGAAATATTTTTCTGTATAGGTACATAATGATATCTATCATGATATTGAATCTGAAACTATAAGAGAATTATCACGTGATACAGCTTATGATGCTCAAAATACTGAAAAAACTTATGTTAGTCAAGTTCAATTAAATGCAATAGAAAAAAATGCACAAAATAAATTATTAGATACAATATTTATGGATCAATTAATTGCAAAATATATCCGACAAAAAGGATCTGTTGTTGATGTTGATGATCTATCACGTTTTCTCGATGGTATAGTTTTATTTCAATACGCATATATATTATGAATTAAAATTTATTTTAGCAACTGTAATTGATAATTTAATTTATCATTATCAAGATATTAAAGATAGTCGTTCGAGAACATTAGATAATTATGCTTTAAGAAAATTTCATCTAAATTCATTTATGAATATGGTAAGAATTTTTTTTTGTTTTTGATTTATTAAAATTTTTCGATTTGTTCTAGACAATGGATTTATTACTAACTGAATTAAGTGCTAGTCTTATTGAAGATATGAAAGATTTAGATGAACAAGAACGAAAAGTATTTTAAATTTAACTAGATAATTTATAAAATAAGACGAACAATCCTATGAGATAGGATCATAGACATATTTGAATTCTTCTTGTGATATTATTTATCCGCTTATAATGCATGTGATTAATATATATATTTCTACTGATTAGTATGTGTTAATGTGTGGAATTGTTTCTTTTTTTTTTTATTTCGAAATTTTTCTTTTATAATTGAACGTCTTCATCATACTGTTATTCAGTATTGTTGCATGCTTGTATATTCATTTGTTTAAATAAACATCTGTATCAGAAAACAATTTGATGAAAACATAACAATCATCTGATGTAAATGTTTATGAACTTAATTATTGATGCATGATATTTATCAATTGTTGAATAATGTTTATTTTGTGCTTCGATTAGGTAAAGATTTATGATTTTGAAATAAAGTTTAATGGATTCTTTGTACTTCAATTGAAGGTAAAAGAAAATACCTGAAGGTTTCTTTTTTTAGTTAAATAAATCGAAAAGAAACATCCATTTATAAGTAGATCGAATAAGATAATTAGTGTTTTCATTCGCTTTGATCGTTTGTTTTGTTTGTGTTTAATGTACCAAAAGATCAGTACAAAATCTCTTCTAGTTTCTCATACCAATCGAAACATATCCGACAAGTCACTTCTCTAGATTATATAATGAACTATTTTTATAAGTAATGGAAATGTGCATTGTATTTGTATTGATTCACTGACCGCATGTGCATAATAAGTAGTCCTTCTAATAAGATATTGTTTTTCCTGATAAAAAAAAAAGAAAAAAAAATATATATATGCATATTTTTAAATAATCTTGTGATATAATTCTCTTATTTATTTAAGAGAAAAAGAAAACTTTATTGATTATTGAAATACAAATAAGAGCAAAAAAAATTTATTCATTCTAATTGAATAACAGACAGTGCACACATTATTCAAGACAAAGCGGGAGTAGAGCGCGAAAGAGATATATAACATGTATCACAGGATGTATATTCTCTATTGATTTAGAATTTTGAAATCTTTTATGTTGCTTGAAATTGTGCAAGACGATTTTGAAATGCAATTTTACGACGAGCTTTCTCTTCTTCCATACGACGTCGTTGTTCTTGTTCTTCACGAATCTCTCGTTGAAATTTATCTCCTTCTCTAATAGCAGCAGCCTAAAGAAAACAATAGAGAAATATATTTCTCAAAATCTCATATATAGATGATTTACTTTAGCTTCAAAAAAATTCTTTGCACCACCAACACCTTCTTTTGCTACATCAATTTCTACAAGCATTGAATATAATTGTTGTAAAACAGATGCAATTGTTGTTTTTTCATTTTCAATTTCACCATGAACTGACATTGCTTTTCGGAAAATAAGTAAAAACTAAATATTAAATATACATGAAGATCAATTACATCAGAAAAACAATATATTTTTACTTCTCGAAATGATATTTTTCCATCTTGATCTTCATCAACTTGTTTAATCATTTCTTTTAAACCTAAATGTGTTTGTGGAATACCAAGTTTTTCCATCATTATTTTTAATTCATTAAAATTAAGTGATCTATCTCTATCTGTATCATATCTTCAACAACAAAACAAAAAAAATTAAAATCAAATACTAAAACATAATAGATAAATTTTCTTACTTTTCAAATGTTTGCATTAGGCTTTGTATTTGTTTACGTGAAAATTCAGTATATTCAGTATATGGATTAAATACAATAGGTCGTTGATATTCATAACCTGTTGATGATGATGATAGAGGTGAGTCTGGTTCATCGGTTGTTCCTGTACCATAACTATTCCCATTTATTGATGATGTTTCCGATGATGATTCAGCTGATTCAATACGACGTATACGTTGACTAAGTTTTTGTGCTAAATCTGAATCCATTGAAAAGGAATATTTTTTGTTGTTTTCTAAAAATGTTGATCGTTGTTATTTTTAAAGAATTTAGTAAAATATAATGATGTGTACAACAACTTCTAAGAGTGTTGTGTCATACATAAGCTCTCACTATAATATGTAGGATTATCTCTCTCTCTCTCTTTAATGGAAAAGAAAAGAAAGAAGGAGAAGAAGAAGAGAAAAAAAGAGAAAATGTCGATCGGGACGGCGATACATTGTATAACACATTGTAGGAGAGAAGAAGAAGAAGAAGAGCGAGAATGATCTTCTATCTCTTTATCCGTTCGTCAGACATAGATGTGATGTCGTTCATTATAGTTTCTTACAAGGTTACTACTATTGATGATGTATATAACTGACAAGAAACATAGTAGAATAATTATTAATTTTGACTGTCAAATGTAAAATTGACAAACTTGTCTGGACATTTACATATACATGTATATATATATACATACAAGTCTCTCATTTTTCTTTATTCTTTTATCGAACGATATGAATATATATATACAATATGTGTAAACGACGAAAGAAGCAAAGTGCAAGCATGTTTTCGTACATAAAACGACGATATTACATCATGTACAAACGAATGCGATTCTATAAAAGTTTATGTTCTCATTTTCTTTTTGTTCTTATAGGAAGTTGTAGCGCTATGATATATATATAGTTGGGAGAAGAAAAGAAAGAGAAAATACATATATATATACATATGCAGAATGCTGCTGACCTTCGTGTTCATTTTTGACATCTGTCCATACATAAATATATGTATATACTCAAGAAAGCAATGGAAGCATACTCATCTACTTCAAATAAGAATAGGCTTTCTCATATATATATATACTGCTCATGGCGAGCAATAGTCGCCGACAAACTATTAACACATTTTGCAGCTGCTGCTGCTGCCGTGTATAATGACTGACTGACCTATGTGATGAAACCAATTCTTTTCAATCTATAATGAGAAAACAATAAGTCATATTCATTTTTTTCGTCAATTATAAAAACAAAAAATACGACTAAATTTTACATTTACAAATACTAGAATAAGATTAGCCAATATTGACTGAAAAACATACAAAATATAGTCAATCAATTTGTTCAGTTTACTTCCGTTTTTATCGCTTCTTTCTCACACTTCATAAAATAAACAAAAACGATTTATTATATTTTATGTATGACTATCGATCATTGTTAAGAGTACTTCATCGAGATGAAAAGAATATCTCGAAATTCTAATATTCTTTTTGCTATAAAAGAGAATGACTATAAATTCATAAAACTACAATATTTAAGAGAACGCAGTCTATTCCCACTAGAAATATATATACGCAATGTCTCTAGTGATATGTTGGGCTAGTTAATCATACATTAGTGAGTGTAATTTTAACAAGAACTCGATGGTATGCGTGACATCGATTTCATCATCGATTGGTGTTGTCAAATTGATTAATATTGACTTTCGTCATTTGTCTCCGTATTGACGACCATGAGTGAATATCGGATAATACAATTATGAAAGATAAGTTAATATAATTGTCAAATTGCTTACATAATAGATAATATAACATTAACAATATGTACAAGCCAATGTCGTCAAGTGTTTATTTTTGAAGAATATTGAAAATGCTTATGAAATAATTCATATATTTTGCTCTTTATATGATTTCTAGAATTCAATTTGTTTTCTGTTTTTATATTAATACACTTGAGAATAGTACTAATCATGGTGGAATACACATTCGTATTTAATTTAAGTACAATTTTTAGTTACTGTTAGATTGAATAACAAATTTGGTTTATATTCTATTAGTGGAAAATATTTATAAAAAACACTTCATGAAATATCATAAGCATGTGTCAGTTCGTATAGATAATATTACAAAACTTAATAATAAAGATGGACTAACGATGCGATATAATATCCAATTAATATCTAAAGTCCTTCAAGTATCATCATACAGTCAATAAATGATATTTAATACAAAGTGTATATGGAATAGATATTTTGATCAGAGCCTTTCAAAAATATATCAATTCATTTTACAGCGATACAGAGACGATGAGAAACTGTTTTTATTCAGTTGGATCTTTAACTTACCAGTAAAATGATCTTATAAGTCTTGTAGAAATATGTATACCAATGTGTCTTCTGTATTCTCTTCTTTTTCCGCGCTTGGAAGTTATTCAAAAAGAGGAAAAGCATAAATAATTAACTTATTGTTAATTTCAACCTATTTTGAACGAGTGAATAATAACATTTGATTTGCTTTTAACACAATTATCCTTGAAAATGCATTCTTCAGATCTATGCATAACAAGAATAGTTTACTATAAAGTGACATGACATTATTTTTTTTTGTCGATAAAGAATAATTAAAAAAACCATTGATTTTCGTGTAAAATACATTATTTTCTATTCATATAATGAGCAAAAAAAGTATAAATAAGTATATATGTGTAGCAAATAGGAACAAACAAAATTAGCATATAGTAGAAATAATTAAAAAAAAGAATGAAAACATAGTTATGATGTGGACGGGAGAACAATGATTCGTTTAATAGATTGTATTATGTAATTAGATGGTATCGTTGCCATTTATTTTCTAAAAGAAAAGAAAATTTAAGAAATATAATACATCTAGTTTTTTTTGTCTTTAAAAGAAAGAGCGAAAATCTCTATGAATCATTTTAGCTTCTGTCATTCTTACTTTCTCTCTCTGAGGAATACCTATTAAAATATAGAGAGTAATGTGTGTATTTGTATTATCGGATATTAATAAAAATTAAGAATATATCTTACTTTCATCTGAATTGTTTATAGCAGTTTGAATACCAGTTACCCATTGTTGAGCTTCTTGTGCATCACGTGCATATAACTAAATAGAAATGAACGATATGATGTTTTGTTCAATTTATAACGGTTCAATGAATAAATGCGACTAGCAAACATGTTCAAGATTAGTCAAAGTAATAAAAAAATCGCCTGGAAGCAGAAAAAGTCTAAAAGGATAATAGGTCATGGATCTTTCTTCTGTAGGCATAACTATTTGAGTAGATTTATCACACATGATAAGAGATGTATTAATTATACTGTAAAACTTCGATTTCACGTTTAACTAGTATACTAGCTATATATTATGAGATCCACATATAGACTTCTATTATCATGGGTAGTAAATCTGATAAAAGAATAATAGGTCGTTATTAGGAGTAGTCATATTCATCAAATCGTAAAAGAAATACGACATAAATTAATATAATTCATGTAAAGCCTGAGTACTAGAACATAGAACTACGATTAGTCATCGAATGGATCTTGCCAGATCGGTAAAAAGAAAAACTAGTTTATATTATTTACGTGATAATGTTTAGCACTATTTTGTCGATTTGACCAAGTTAATTCAAGAGATGGTCCATATTTTGGATCTTCATAATAAAGGATTTTTGCACCTTTAAGATTAATTGCCTTATGTGGTGTTCTATCAAGATCATGTTTATGTAATAAAAGTGTATTCTTTGATAAAACACAATAATAACGTTCAATTCGTTTGAAAAATGAATCTATTTTATTTGATAAAAAAAATCAATTTATTTTATATATATAATTACAAAAATAATCTTACCTCGATTTTGTTTTCGAAGCCAACCTTTAACAACATTTTCATATTCCGAAGCTGGATGAGTTGCTTCTTGTGGTGTAACATAGATTGATGTTGACTCATCATATCGCACCGGTCTTGCACCGAATTCAAGTGATGCTGTTTTATTTGCTGGTTTTAATACTTGTTCATTTTGTGATGTTTTACGTGGTATAACTTCTAAACTTCGATGTAAACTAGAATTTCTATTCGTTAATGCAACATGATTTGTTGTTGGTAAACCATACTGAATTTCAGTGTGATTTGGCATTGACACAGTTGATGATGACGAGGATGATAGCGATGCTGATCGTTGTAATTTAGGTTCAGATATTTGATATGATTTTGAATATTCATCATTACGATGAACATTTGTCACAATGTGTTCTATTGAATTTGGTTTTGGATCAGTTTCATGAGTTTCACCTACATTATAATATGTTCCTGATGAATTATTTTGATGAATTATATTATCAAGACGACTTGCTGCAGCTGGTTTTTCTGTTAAAGGTACAGCTGCAGCTAATTTAGCAGCTATTGATGGAGATGAATTACCAGATACAGGACGTTCTTGACTATTGCATGGAATACCTAGAAATAGAATCAAAAACTATTTTCTTTGATGCCGATTGAAATAAACTTACTTTTAATAAGTTTTCCTAAAGTTGAATTAGGTTCATTATTAATGATGGGTGCTTGTTGATCAACTCGTGGAGCAGGTGTCTAAAAAAGTAAAGAAGATTCTATAATATCCTATCTCAATCATTTAAAAGATATGAATATTGTAACGTAAATTACTTCTTACAGCTTTTTAATTTCTATAAGTAGAGAAATTGAGCTATGTGATTAGATTAGTTATAAGAGGTATGATCAGATCATATTTCATTTACGTGCTCATCCCATTTATGTGAATATTAAACTCAAGACAAAAGAGCATTATGCAGCCTTATTAAGAGATCTTTGCAGCTGGGACGAAGTTTTCGTTTAATGTCAGTTGTACTATACATAGACAGTCTGAAAAAGTAATTTATCTACCTATTTATATGTAAGCAATGTTTCATTTTGACTTATTATCTTTCTCATCATCATTATTAAATATCGTATTCTTTTTAAACTGTACCTTTTTACTAGATCGTCTGCTGTTATCTGTAATAACTGATGAAGAATTTGAATATTTTCTCTCTCCCGATACATCATACGATGTTTGTTGTTGATCATCTTGTTCAAGTGCTTTATGATCTAGAAAATAAAACAATCAAATAAAAAAATTTTTCTAATGTTTATACCATTTGGTTCTTCTGTTAAATATTTCTTATCATCTTGTTCACGTTGTTCATGTATAGATAAACGTTCACGAAAATGATCACGTTCAGTTTCAATTTTAAGTATTTTACTTTTCAGACGTTCAATAACTTCATCTTGTTGTCGAATAATATATGTTTGTTGATGAATCATATTTTCTAAATTCTTTAATTTTAATTCTAATTTATCACTTAATTTTTGTGCATCCGTTTCTAATTGTCGTCCTATTTTTTGAACTAAATTTGTTAATTTTTTTTCGATTATTTGATTATCATCTGCTGCTTGCTGTTGTTGAGGATTAGGATTAATCATAACAATTCCTGAATCACTACCAACAGTTGAATAACGATCAGTTTGTTGATATGTTGGTTTAAATGTTATTGATTCATTGCCATGAATTGGTGATACATACGTTGATGAAGTTTTATATTCATTTTGTTGATGATGAGGTGTTTTATCATTGACATTTAAATTAGTTGTAGTTATAAAATGTTGTTGTTGACGATTATGAATTGATATATTATCAATAGTTGGACTTGTAAAATGTGTTGAAGGTGGTGTTTCAAAACCATGATTTGTATAACGTGTCGAACTATTGTATTGAGATGAGAATTGTCGATCGGAATTAGTAGATGAAGCATCTAGATTGTATAAATATGATATATATATTGATGACATTTTATATGGGTTGAAAAAAATACTGGTAGCAATTTTATAAAAAAAAGTTATTGTGGTTTTTTTTGTCAATTGTTGAATTCATAAAAGAAAAGAATGTAATCAAAGTTTATATAACCTCTTGTCTCAAAAAAATTGCCTTTTTTTTAAGATGAAAACATTGCTTGTTAAACTTTTATGTTCTTCAAGTGCTTTCTTCTTATTGAAAAGAATTTCGAGAATCAAAAGCTTTATTAATCTTCAATAGATATCGATTGTAAAATTTCAATGAGAGATGAAAGAAACGAAGAAGAAGAAAAAAAAGATTCATTTTAGATTTTAATACTTCTTTATCCTTCTACCCTTTTATTTCATCTACATAGATATGTATTTAAATACAAATCTGAAGTAATAGATCCTGTTAGAGTATTCATATTTATCACTTGAAAAAAGACTCTTAATTGATCTATGTGGTTTTTTATCGTTGATTTATTTACTTTGATAACTAGTAGTATTGATGTCGTTTGTTGTACGACCTCCATTTCTCATAGCTGCATATTCTTTAAGTGGTGTATACTGATAATTAGCTTGAATCATTCCTATGGATGTATTTTCGTCGTCATTATGTAAATTTTGTTGTTGTTGTTGAATTCGACGAATTGTCTTACCATCATCAGTAAATTGACCTAAATGTGACAGGATAAAACAAAATAGTAATAATAAGTGTGTGTGTGTGTGTAGATAGACAGTAAAGAAAAAGAACATTTATAAAGGATTTATATTTGTTCATATAAATTAATCACGTTCATAATACTCATTACATATGATGACTACTATATATATGCATAAAGTATAGATTTAAATTTTTTTGCTCTTATCACTCATCTTCGTCAGATTCTTTATATATAATGTAGTTTGAAGAAACTATAAAAAATATTTGTCAGTTTATATATTTACTAAATGTTTACCGATTTAATGACTCGATCGCTTTTATGTGTATAGGAATATAAAACCAATTTTTTTTGCCACTACTCATAAGGATTCTTTATTTTTCAGTGTCTCAAAAGTATAGATGAACGTTGAATGAAGGTGAATATACTTGAAAACAAAAAGTCTATCCTATTTTATATTTTACCATTCGTTTGTAATAGAAGATGATCATCAGTTTCATTTAATTTAGATGTTTTATTTGGTATTTGTTGTTGTTGTTTTTCTTCAAAATATCGAATAGCACTAACAACACTTGTATCTTTTGCTGATGTTGTACTTAATTTCGATGGTAAATTTGCAAAATCTCGATAATCTGCTTCCGATGTATTATGTGATTTGACTTTAATACCACCATTGATTTGTCGTTGACTTGAATTCGATGTTGTACCCGTGATATTATCATTACATTTGTCACAAACAAAATGTGTATTTTCACCATAGTGTGAAATCATATCAGGTTTTACACAACGCCAATGATATGAACCATCACATATACGACCTTAAGAGAAAAATATACATATTTTTAGTGCGAGAAAATTCAATGATTACTAACAAATAAGAATTTCTTCAAATGAATATAGAAGACGTTTGCATATATTACATGTTGTTTGTGGTGTAGATGGTTTTATTGATGAAATATCCGATAAATTTGTTGAAAGAACTTTTGATGATGTTGTCATTATTGATCTGCTGTGTGAAGTTTTTAATAATAATAAAGATGATGGAGATGAAGTTGGTAAAATTAAACCTAATTTAATACAACATTGATAGATATTCAACTCTTATTCATTTTTTTTGTTTAATAAAGAAGAAGAAAAAAACTGACAAGAAAGAATATGTAACGTTTTTTTTTTTCTTCTCCGTTTCTCTTTCTCTTCTATTCTGTAATGTTTTTATACATTCTCATAACTGAAGAAGACCTACATTGGGCCGCCAAACAGTATATAAACATACATCCTTACACCTTTAAATGACTTACACCGGATACGAACGATGCAATTTGGTAAATCTGGTAACGAACTCGAGCGCATCATTTAACGAATAAAAAAAACCACTAACCCTCTTTGATTTTTGTAATACGTTTGTTTCTCTCTTTATTCTTCTTATCGTTAATCTCCATTTATTTCATTCATTTATAAAAGAGAACAATTTTTACGACTTTTTCACTTGACTGATGATAAAACTCCTTCTTTTTTTTTGTTGTATAAAGAGTATCATATATTTTTCTTTTAAAACTATGTCTTGAAAACAGTTTAAATGTTTTTATTACATACCGATTGATAATCACATGAGAGAGAGAGAGATATGATTATTTGTTGGTAATTCAAATTAACAATATAAAATATGTGTACACAAACACATCTTTCATTTTTGTCGATATAAGACATAGAAGTACAAATAAAAATGACTTCTCTCATTCGTTTTACTATTCACTCTTTTTACGCCGTCACTTTTCGTTCTTTTATTTCGTTTAGAAGCATTTTATGTTACTCTTTTACTCGAGTGTTTTTGTTTCTCAATCAATCCTGATTATTATTTTACTTTTGCTCTCTCTCTCTCTGTCTACCTCGTTTCTTTTTTCTAAACACCTAGATGCAAATTATTCAGCAAGAAGCATACATATATATATAAATGCGGTTAAAGGTGTATAAATGCATGTTAGTATCATTAGTCTGTAGATTTGATAAGAAAAACTCTTGACAATATAGAAATAAACCAAGCGTGAGTGTTGCAGAAAGTATTTACGATGCTTACCATCATCATCTTCATCTTCGCATCATCTAATATGAATGAATAAAAAAAGAAGAAAGAGAAAGAGAGGTCAATATTTTACGCGCCAATTTCTTTCGCTTCTGATTTTTCGTTTTTTTTTTATATATTTCTTTTCTTTTGAATTAAATATATAAGAACAAGAAGAAGAAATGAAGAATATGTATTGGTACTACTATTACTATTCTCTATACCTTGTATGTGAACGTGTGTTAGGAGTAAGAACGAAAATGAAGGAGTATTTATTATTTGAAAGAAACGCAAGCATACGTTAGAACTACTACTAAATATACCGTATTGGAAGTGAAGAGAGAGAGTATTGAATGGCACTCATGTGCTTTTCGTTCTTCGGTATGACGACCACCTGTTGTCAGTCGATAATCGTATATAGAACTATAGTTTGCATCGAATGAAGGCTTATGTCTTTCTCTTTTTTCATTGTTTGCCTACAATGAAACAGACACACACACATATATGTGTATACATATCAGCGTAAAATATGAAACAAAGAATAATAAAAGAGCTAAAGAAAAAAAAAATTATAAAAATAAATATTCACGTTTATTCTGACCTTCTTTGTCAAAGAACACCTAAATTATAGTTACCTTGAATAATAATCCATAGACAATTACTTCTTCTCCTATATCGACATTAAGTAAAAAAAGAAAAAGTTCTATTCTACAAAATACTTTTGTTTAAATATACATCTATACTCAAATGGTATGTCAAATTTTAGAGGTAATTGGAATAGTAACTAATATTTGTCTTTTTTTTCATTACACTTGAAATGAAAATTCTCTAATAAATATTAAAATATGTCAAAATGAAGTAATCCACTTCAAACTTTTACTAAATATTTACCTTTACTGTACATAGATTAATATTGTTAAAATAATAAATAAAAATTTTTGATCAAGAATTAATTGTCATATTAACTTTTTCAATTTCGTTTTGTTGTAATTCATTACTAATAAACTACTAGTTTATTTTATTACATTCAATTCAATTTGATCAGTACAATTCACTGATCCGCGATAAATTTTGAGTGTTATTATCGATGATTCATCATAATCAGTATTAATTTGAATTATATTATTATTTCTACCTACTAAAACTGTTTTTTTTCTGGTAAAATTCAGCTTGATTTGCATAGTTCCATGTAAATGCAACATGTGTCCACTGATTATTCATTATAACTGATTCAATTCTACTCACACTAATATTTGTATTTGTTACATTAGAAAGATAAGTAACCAGATGGTTATCACTATTCTGAACAGTAAGTAGAAGAAAAAGACAGGTCATCTGATGGTCAGATATAGTAGGAAAATGCTAGATTAGTTTTCTGTTTAATACAGGAAATAAACTTACTTGGTAATAAGTAACAACAGCAGCATAAAAATCTCATGTATCAGATAGTGATCGAGTACCTGCCAATGTAGCATTACGACAGCTGAATTCATAATCAAGAGTAACCAAGTGTAATTATTTCTATCGAGAAGATGATATCCAACAACAGTTGCATCGCATAAAATTCTCTCATTCGTTCGAGAGAACTTTATTAAATCCAACACTAATAATCTTTTCATTGTTAGTACTATTTTGTGATATGCATGTTACTAGTAGTATCTTTAATATGATGTCCTTCACTAGTAGATATTTTAAATGTAGAAATAACTCGATAGTTTTTATTGATGAAAAATACTTTAATAGTGAAAATTGTATTATAATTATTCAAGTAGGAGTATGTAAATTTCCGCTCCTTCATTTATTTTATTATCATGATGAGAATAAAAACCAAGGCTATTATGATTAAAAGGATAAAATGCATAGTCAATTGATATTGGAGACCAATATAATTATTTTATCATCATACTGCGAAGTGACTACGAACAAAGGAAAAAAAATGAAAGGAATAGAATACCATGTTGAAGTTTGATCATGTTTTCTATGAGTAGCTGGGAGAGTTACCAAGATAACAATAAAAATAATCAAGAATACTATTGAAAAATCAGCGAAAAGCAATCTTTTTCTTTGATATCAAAATCTACATATGACCAATCGAAGATATATAAAAGAAATTCTGTGCAAACAGTTAGAACCTATCTTAATCTATGGAATTGATATTTGAAGGATGGATAAAATTTATAAACTATTTCAAATACGAATATATATTTTGAAATAGTGATTCAAGAAGTTCAGTTGAAATTTTACTTCAAAATATGCACCTGGTAATAATAATATTTTATGTTCAGTTATGAAATGTGAATGTCCACGAATTGTTTCAGCACTGCCGAAATAAAGATCTGACTTAAGAACATTTAATGATGTGGCTCAAGATGAAAACTGTTTGAATATTTGATTGAGATGAGCATAGAGACTCCTACGTAATTGGTATGTAGATGCATCCTATTCCATAATATAAAGTAATATAACTATTTTGGCTCATCATTTACATGTAATCGATAATGCGAATTATAATATACTATTAATTCTTAAATACGATTTAATAGATATACTGTGATTAATTATTTAGTATTACAGTAGTTTGCTGTTAAAATCAGAATGAAAATTCGATCTTTTTCAATTTCGATATTTTTTTTAAGTACTGGAAGATATTTATTATTCTATATGTTTTTCAGCTTCTAGAACCTGTCACTAGCTATTATTGAAATATAAATAATTATTCAGTTTTTGTATAACTGCCTGTCGTATTATCTTAATCTTTTTTTTATCAAACTAACAAATATTTATTTCGTTTTTATAGTTTTATGATACAGTCATATACACTTGTTATTATTTGCCAATAGCATTTCACTCACTCTCGGTTATTTACTTTTTTTATAAACTATATTCTAATGCAATATCACTACGATTCAAAAGAAATATTTTATAAAAATTTTTATTTCTTATTCAGATTTATCTCAAAGAATATAAACAATATTTGTATTTGTACTATGAGTATTTACTAATCAAAATTGAGCATGAATATCAGTTTCATATTACTAGTATTTCAACAGATATAAAATGATACATTCACTGAAATAAATTAATGCATACTTGCTAGTCCATATAAAATAGTGAACAATAGTATTATGATTGTATTACATAGTTTCATATCAAAATTAGCAACTTTTTTTATATTTTTGTAAGAGTACTGTTTTCATTGCCTGTAATGAAAATAAAAGATTATTCAAGATACGATTTATACAAAAGTATAGTCGATCCTGAGGATGAGGTGGAGAGGTGAATGTAACACTCACTCTAACCAACATCAGATAATTGCATCAGATGTTTGTGATGCCTACGAAGCAAAGATTTTGAGAAGGCTTCGGTACTAAAAACATTATTTCAATTTTGCTTCTCAATCAGAATTGTGTGGATCTTTTTCAGATGGCATCTAAAAAGAAAAGCAAGTAGAAAAAGACTTGTATTTCACATATGTATATGTAATCAATGCAAAGTGAAACATCAATTGTTAATCAAGTTTGAATCTTTAACTTGAACTCAAACAAAAAATCATTGAATGAAGCTCATCAAAACCAAACTGTTTGGGCGTAGTTCATGCCTAGTGACAAAGACTATATAGTCTGAGCAATGTATGAAAATATGCGATAAAATCGCTAATGTTTATCATTTTTCAAATTATTTATACAATATAGATGCATAAGTGTGATGCTATACATTCGTCACACGTTAGTGAAGGTATTTATTTACTAAATCTGTGCTGCATTATCAAACAAACTACTCAAAAAAAAGAAAAAACAGAACTAAAAACATTATTTCATCCCGCCAAAAAGCAACAGTGCGACATTCGCTTTCACAAAACAACTCGAAGCACTTTTAATATGCCACTTTTGCCAATTTTATTCGTCAGACGACGTTGGAAAAAAAAGTACGAAGAAAAATATGTTTTGCTTCTGCAACATACAACATATTAAAAGCCTCTCAAATAAAATATTTTATTCAGAATTTTTTTTAAGGTAATAATAAAGTGATTATCAGTTATAATGGCTACTAGTGAATCATCGAATGAAAGACGACAGAATCTTCTTCCAAACGAAGTTTCAAAAAACAAAGAAGATATTCAGTTAATTTGGCTTGATGGAAATATGAATGATTCACATGACTATCTTCTCACTCAATCTATGTTAACTGAACTCAATCCAGCTGTTCAGTTTTATTCTCATTTTGATCGATGTCTCAATTTAATCAAAGCAATCAAACATGAACAAATCTTTTTTATTGTTTCAGGTGCTTTTGCTGAACAGATACTTTTACAAAGTCATCATCATCGATCTTTGGTCGCTATATTTATTTTTTGTTCTAATCATCAACGTTATAAACCATTAATGAAAGAATATAATAAAATCATCGGAATATTTACTAAACAACATGATTTATTAGAATCAATCAAACAAAAAATGAATCTAGTTGAAAAACAAACATTAACATTTAGTCTTTTTGATCAAAAACAAAAGTCAATGAAAGATTTATCACAAGAATCAGCATCATTTCTGTTACATCAAATGTTAATCTATGTTCTAAAACAAATGTTACAAGATGAACAATCAAAACAACAAATGCTCGATATGTGTCGTAATTATTATAAGCAGAATAAAAAAGAACTAAAGAAGATTGAAGAATTTCAACAGACTTATACACGTGACAAAGCAATTGAATGGTATACTGATGAGTGTTTTCTTTATAAACTATTAAATAAAGCACTTCGAACTGAAGATATCGAATTACTCTTTAATTTTCGATTTTTTATTATTGACTTATGTTCAGCTATTGAACAAGAAAATCAACTTCTGAAAAATAATGGAACATTAACTTTGTATCGTGGAACACAAATTCCAAATGAAGAATTTGAAAAAATAAAAGAAAACATTGGTAAAACTATTTCAACTAATGGATTTTTATCAACATCACGAAATATCAACGTGTCACTTGTATTTATTCATATGAATGTTCAATCAAATGATTTTACATCAGTTTTATTTGAAATTAAAGCAAATCCACTATTGAGAACAGTGGTTTTTGCTGATGTTGGAGATAGAAGTCGAATAAAAGGTGAAGAAGAAGTTTTATTCAATCTCAATGCACTCTTTAAGATTGTTTCTGTTTGTTTTGATTCCAAACTTACTGTATGGAAAGTCGAATTGAATGCAACTGATGAAGGTGCAGAAAAAGTTGAAGAATATCTTGCATTATCGAAACAACAGATGGAAGAATACACACCACTTATTTATTTTGGTCGACTTCTCATGAATGAATTAGGTCAAGTAGATCGTGCAGGAAAATATTTTAATATGTTACTGAAATCACTTCCACATGATCATCCTGATATTGCATCTGTTTATAATAATATTGGTATAGTACATGAAGAGAGAAATGAGTTGAATTTGGCATTGAAAAACTATAAGATAGCTTATGAGATGCGTCAAAAGCAACTACCTTCAAAGCATTCTCATATTGCTGGTTCACTCAATAATATTGGTGGCATTTATAGATTAAAAGGTGATTTTAATACAGCACTCGATTATTATCAGCAAGCTTTGAGTGTTTATAACAAATTATATCCTGGTAATAATCTACAAAAAGCAAGGACAATCGAAAATATTGGGAGATTATACGAAGATATAGAAGATTTCGACTCGGCTCTTGTTTATTTGTCTCGTGCTCTCGATATGTATAAGCATGTTCTCCCTCATCAACACTCTGAAATAGCATCATGTCTTGGTGGAATAGGCTATACTTATGAGAAGAGAGGTAATTTAGATATTGCTCTGGATTATTATCAACAACGATTAAATATGGAAGAACAATGTTTACCTTTCGACCATTCAAGTCTTTCAGATCATCTTGGTTGGATCATCGATACTTATAAAAAGATGAATGAGATTGACAAAGCTTTGGACTTGTGTCAACAAAAGCTTCTTATTCAAAAAAGTAGATTGGGTGAAAATCATCCTCGTATTGCTCAAACATTAATGATCATGGCTGATTTAATTAAGGACGACAATCCAAACGAAGCATTAGAATACTATGAACAAGCTCTATCTGTATTGGAGAAATGCACACCATCTGATTACCAAGTCACTTCTGAGTGTTTGACATCAATGGCTTGTTTATATTCCAAGTATGATATGATGGAGGATGCATTACGATGTGACCTTAAAGCACTTGAAATTGATCGTCAAACATTGTCTTCTGATCACATTAACATCGCAAACAGCTTGAGTAATATTGGTCTATGTTATGAAAGAATGAACAACTTATCCGAAGCACTTCGTTATTTCAATGAAAGTCTTTCGATCTATCGAGCTAATTATGGACCAGAACATGAAATGGTGAAGAGAGGTGAAGTAAACATTATCAGATTGAAAGAGAAACAATTACCGCTACCGTCCCATATGAAGAAGAATAAAAAAAACTCAAACAATAACAAATCGTCCACCATCGTTAACAGTAAAGAATGTTTAATTCAATGATCAATGCTTTAGTTTTTCATCGATCCTGTTGTCTCTGTTAAAAGAATGAACACTTTTATGTAAAACTTGTTGTATTTGATCAATCTTACGCAAAATAAAATAATAAATGAGAAAATAGATTGTTTTTGGAAGGAAACTAGTAGTAATAATAGTAGAAATGTACTCAAGTCTTTGTCTAAACATCCACACATCAGCAAAGATTCGACAAATCTAAAAATAAATGTAAATAATGGTATTATTCAGATGAAACAATAGTTATGTAAAAAGTATTTAATATTTTCAATTTTTGACTAAAACATACAACAATATCATCTCTACACATTTCATACATTTTAGATGAGAAGCACAATATATCATTAAGATAACAAATGAAATAATATTATCTTATTGATAGAGCTCTATAAATACTGTTTCATTAATATTAGACTTAAACAAATGATAGTTTAAATAAAATTAATTTAAACAATATTCTATTTTTGTTGCGTGATCTAATTTTACTGACAAAAATTCTGTCATAAATATTTAAATAAATCAATAAATAAGTAAGCTTACAATGAGTCAAAAATGACATCATAATTAGACTATGTACTTATTTGTTTCTTTTTACGATTTTTCACTATTGTAAACTTATTTTATGTAAAGAAAGTTAAAAGTTTCTTCATATTACGGGAACGTGGTGTGGTTACTGTGTGTATGAGTAAGAGTGTGGGTGAAATAGAATAACAACGTTTATATCCACGCCCACCCTGACGATGATGTGTTTATCAAATGTAAACAATACGAATGAATAAAAGTACTTTTCATTGATGAAACAAAGCGTGTATTTATACAAAAAGTGAAAAGAAAAAGAGGAGGAAGAGGAGAGAAATAGACAATTTTGTACTTTTTCATCCAACTGAATACATTTAAAATAAATAAATAAAAAAAGAAAATCAAAGGTACTTTTCTATAGTTATTTAATAATTAATTATCATATAATCACACTCACTTTCAGTTGAAATTGAGAACAAATCGAGTTTTTCCACTATTTTAGAAAATCATCATTTTGCTACATTAATATCTGAACTCAGAAGCAATAAAAACAAAACATTATTCTAAGTTTAACCATAAGTTTAAAAGAGTTATGTTCTCGTTTTCCTAGAAGGCATCTTTTTATTCATAATTATCAATCAACGAAATTACTAAAACAGATTTTTTTTTAAATATTCATATCGTTCATTTACTTCGTCAAAAATAAAATATTATACAAACAAAAAAATTTATTCATACATTAAAAATAATTAAATTGTTAATTTTCTGTTAAAAAAATAAAATCTAACTCGGTAATGTTTGAATGATCTGTTGCAAATCACCTTGTTGTGCTTCACGTGCAAATACAAAAACTTCATCTAAGGAACCCATAAATGTTTGTGATACATTAACTCCTTGAATACCTTGACAATTTGCTGAACCACTATAATTACCAAGTGTAACTGTCATTGGAGCACTATTATTACCACCACGAACATTATTAAGAGTAGTTGCACCAACACCAACATTAGCCAATAAAGCTGATGTATAAAGTTTTGCAAAATTTGTTGAACTCCACGTAAATGCAACATGTGTCCATGCATTAGTTGGCATTTGTGGTCCAACAATATTTACACCAGCTCCTGTGGCAGTTGCATTTGGTAGATAAGCCACAATCTTATTTCCATCATTTTGAAGACCAAGTACAAGTAAACATGTATATGGATTAGCTACAGTAAGAAATACACCACTTTGAGTTTCGGCTCGAACCCATAAAGCAACTGAAAATGCTTGTTGTGGTGTTCCAAGTGCTGTAAATCCATTCGCTTGAAACGAAGCATCAGACATATTAAAATTAAGTGCATCATATCGCCAACCATAAATTGTATTTATATCTACACCACTAGCATTAAGACCATTCGGTCCAGAATCAAGTGTCCATTGAAAATCTAATCGATAATAAGCAGCTATTGTAGCATCCCATTGTATTACATCTTGAGTTTTAGCTTTTAATGAAATTGATAATTGATCGATATAACCTTGAAATCCGGCTCCAATAATGATAAGTGAATTGGTATTATTTGCTGATATTCCTAATTTAACAGATGAATTTGTTGCTTCAACAATTCCATCTATAGAAATAGTTGCTGTCTGTTTAGTTGCATAATATACAAAACTGATATGATGCCAATGTTGTGTCGAAAGGACTGAAGTACCCACAATACTAGTATTTAATCCTATCGAGGCAAATAATACACCGTTTACAAGATTTAACATAATATTTGGGGCAAGTTGAATAAGTGTTGCATTCAACTGAGTTTTTTGTAACATGAAAAATCCTTCGATAGTAAAATTTGAAGTAGTAGTTAAATTGAAAGCGGGTTGTATATTAATTTGAGTTGCATTTGACTGAGTTAAAACAATAGCTTGTCCATATGGAACATAACCTTGAATATAACTGACAGGTCCACCTGCAACAGCACCATTCCGAAGAGAATAAAGATCATTCGTATTTCCATCAAATGCATAGAATGCATCTGCAACAGATACTGGATCAGGTACTGATCCGTTGTAATAAATAGATGAGAATGTAGCTGTATAACAACAAAAAAATCAAGTTGTTATTTTTCAAAAGAATAATCTAAAATATTATTACTAGTAAGTGTAGGAGTCGAAGTCGAAGTCGTTTGTGCTGCATGTTTCTTTTGAGTGCCTAATACTGATCCTAATATAATAGCCATGATTATTAACGCTACTATAACAGCTATAACAGATAATATTCTTTTTTTCATATACCAAGGACTATATACAGAAAACAAACGTAATTTCTATAATATATAGAAAACAAAGAATATTTACCGAGTATCGTCCAATTCTTCAGGTTCCTTAACACGTGATCGCTATAAAAGACAATTTAAAGTTATTAATGACATCAAATTATATGAGATGAAAATCACATAAAGTAGAAGATTTTACTTTTCAGAACATTAATACTTACTGAGAGTCGATCAGATTCAGAAAATGGAATAAGTTCAGCACCTTTTCATATTATAATAAAAAATATATAGATTTTTATATAATACAATATATAAATTCTACAATACCTTCAAATGGTGGTTCAAGAAGTACATGTGGTGGAATCTTTTGTTGCAGATGAACAATATGTAGATCAGGTGCCGGACTTATTTGAGATCTTACTTCGAAATAGGTGCCCGGTAATAATAATATTTCATCTTCAGTTACGAAATGTGAATGTGCACGAATTGTTCGTCCATTAATTGTTTCAACTGAAAAAAGAGTTCGTGTTCCAGTATTACCCAAATAAAGATCTGACTCAAGAACACTTAATGATGTTGTACAAGATGAAAATGCCCACCATGTTACTTCGGCACCTGGTGGATATTCAGCACTATGATCTTTTCTTACACCACGCCAAACTGTTTGTCGAGGAGCTACTGGTAATTTAGCTAATGCTGTAACAAATAATTTAAGAAATCGAAACCATGGTCGTAGTTTTGTTCGATCAACTTGTTTCAATGTTCGATTAAGATGAGAATAGAGACTTCCACGTGTTTGATTTGCAGGTGCATCCCATTCCATAGTATAAAGACGAATAGACGCTGATTCATCTTGTGAGAGACCATCAGCAGGAGTTTTTGAATTTTCTTTAGCAATCCAAATGTGAGGTTCTAGACGAGGAACAATATCTAGAAGTGGTTCGCATGCTTCTTCTAATGATAATAATGGTTCATAAGCATAACCAGTAATTGGTTGTAATAATTGTTTTGGTTCATCACTAATACCCAACAAATATCGTGGATTTATAAAATCAAATGAGGCGTCACCCATATACTCTTTGCTCGTTCACTATTGTGTATGACTTGTTTATATTTAAGATTAAAAAGAAAAACATATCATTGACTACTCCGCAATGAAAATTAGTCATCCGTATCACGCATGATTATGCACAAACGATAATGATATTATACTTGTATATTCAGTAAATCGTAGAAGAAAAGAAAAAAAGCTAAATATGACAACGATAATATCTATAAATATTTCTACATCCCATGGTTACTTTTCGTTTATCCCTGACTCACATCTTTCACTCCTACATAATGCGTCACTTAAAATATAAAAAAAAGAAATTGTAAACGTGCAATTAATATTGTACCACGCTTATTTTAATTAATAAACTTCGATCAAAATTAGATGTTTTATTAGTTTATACATTGTATTGTTTCATTGAAATAGACTTTTATTCACCGTAAGATATTACCACTATTGTTAGCCTTTTCTTCTATCTTCATATATGAGTAATAAAATTCAATAGAGATGAAAGTATCAATAATTCGTTACACATGATAGAAAAAGTCAGTAATTATAAATTAATTTGTCTAAACATATGAAGATTATTTTTTTTTCTCTTTCTCTCTCTCTCATCTTAAGATGCAAATAAGTTTTAATGCATACAACTGACCATTTATTTTCTCGATGTGTGAACTATTGACACATAGTTCGGGTCAAGTAAACATAAGAGAAAAAGCATCGTTCGCTCTTCTTCTTCTTTTTTTTTCATCTTTTCTAGACATGTCTTTTTTTTATAACTATATTCCATCGGCGAAAAGAAAGTGATGATGAAATCTGATCTTAGCGAACAGATTTTAATTAAGCACACTCTTCGTTCGCTGTCTATTTGCATAATCAGAATCATCATCGGTCGGAATATATATTGCAAATAAGAGCGAGAGAGAGAGAGATAGAGTGGAATAAAAATGATACGACTATCATTTTTATAATCGAAACAAAGTGAATGGTTATCGATTGAACACAAAATATTAGTTGGCAAGAATTTTATCTTAGCTTCTAAAGAAATATTTAACAAAAATGTGTCTAATTTATTTAATCATTTTTATTATTTCAATTAATCATACAATAAATGGAAATATATCAAAAAATTCGACATCAAATCGTTTTTTAATTATTCCATCATGTCAAGCAAATAAAGATGGATTAAAATCAAGTAAGAAAAAAAATGTTTTATTTCTATTTAGATAGATAGATAGACAACTAATTTTATTAAGCTAATTTTTTTTTCTTTTTTTTATATTTGCTTAAACGCATAGCCGTAAAATAATGTTGTTACGCATATAATTATTGATTTAGGTTAATTTTCTTTTTCATTTTGTATTCTATCACCTATCGTTTATTAATGGGAAGTTTAACAATACTATAGGGCGTGGATGTGTGAATACAAATTTTTTTTTTCTTGTTTCACATATGGAGTAATGAGATAAAATTCTATTTTTCCTTCAGCGATGATTGGTTATAATGTGCTTTATGGACGCATGCATTCCCCTTTTCTTATTCGCATCACTAAAAATTATTATAATTCTTCTGCATCACTATTTTTTCGTTGCCATCATCATTCTGAGTTAATAGAGAATCGTCATTCCCTGTCTTACAGTAATAGAAAAAAAACGACACATCTCCTTCCGACATTGTGTCTCTCTTTGTCATTCTATCCAATTTTCATCATCATCATCATTATTCTCAAGACATGTTTTAGAGCTTTATATGTCCTATGACGATAATAAGACTTTTGTCATCTTTCATATATATATTAGAGAAAAAAAAAGTATTTCTAATTATTCTTTTAGTTCCAAAATCAAGTGATCGTAGTTACTATTTTTACTTTTCCAGTCAGTCACCATCGTCCTTGCCTTCTTCCTCTTCTTTTTTACCATCATTACATCTGTCGTATTGTGAACATCAACACACGACTTATTATTCGCCAAGTGGTTTTCCTATTCTTCGTTCGTCACCACGGCTTCCTTTAACTGACATACACGACAAGGAAGATTCTTCGTCCTTTTATCTTCATAATGCTATTCTTTCCGCTGTTGGTCAATCATCATCTTCTAGCAGTAATATGATCACTACACTAATGTCATCATCATCATCATCATCATCACCACCACAAGAAAAACATGTACTTGTCGATAATGATGATAATATGATATTGACAACAATTAATTCTTTAACAACAATAGCATTTTCTAATATTAGTTCAGTGCATACATCATTAACAACAACATCATCATCACACAAAGGAAATCGAGCATTTAATACAATGTTACTTATAGGATGTGTAGTTATTGGAATATTTATTCTCATTCTTATTTTTATTCTTATTAAATGTTTTCATCGTGATGAAGGTTCATATAAAATAGATGAAAGTCAAAATTTTACAGCTGAATCATCTCATTCGGATAAAATTGATAAAAATGGTTGTGGTGGAAAAATATCAGCAACAAAACAACAACGTCAAAAATTATTAACAGCAAATGAACAAGTTGTTGCTAATTCGAAAGAATGGTATGTGTAAATAAAAAGAAAATACTGTTTCGTGTTTTTCTTCTTTCTCTCTTTTTTTTTAAATAAATCATTGATGAAAAGACGAATGATTATATAAATGTAAATTCAAGTATTGACAGGTGTTTTATTAAAGATAAAAGAAGAAAAGTATTAAAAAAAATAGGAATGTCATTCATGTAATCGCTTTATAATCTCTTTATAGTACGCTTCAGTAATTACAAATGTAGCGGCAGACGGCACTTCGACTTCTCTAAAATGTGATAAAAATTAATCTATGTTATACAAAGCGTTCATAAAGTATCAAAATAAATTTACCTATTCTGTTGATCAGCATCAAGAAAACGAATATTTAATGTTCTTTTATCATTTAATATTTTTTTAATTCGAGCTGGTTTATAAATATATTGATCACCATCTACAGCTAAAACATAATAATTAATTTGATGTTCATTATGTGTACTAAACGTTCCAAATAAATGTTCTTCTTCTTGATAACTTTCTGTTTCATCACACCATTTAATTAAATATCTATGACCGGATTCAACTCGATCAATAATCGTACCTAACATAAATTTTTTTTGATCATTATTTAAACCAACAATAACTTGATTTATAAGAGAAGTTTCATAATCAATACGACATTTTGCATAATATGCAAATTGGTCTGTAGTTATTGGTATTACAGATTCATGATCGGGAAATATTTCATCAATACAATCATAAAAGCGAACATGTATTTTTGAATGTTCATGTTTAAGTACTACTGCAGGTCGCCAACATTGACGAAAATCTTTTGGATATTGAATAAGAGCGCATGATTTAGGCTATAAAATTTGAATAGAAAAATAATAGAGAATTTATTTATTCTTTTGCTTACTTTTAATTTATCTAAACGTGTACGTTGTGATTGAAGAAATATATGTTCTCGTAAAATAAAACAATAAGTATGAGATAAATCTTTTCGTTGAACACGATATTTATTTGAATCAGTTTGTTTTTCTAATACAGTGCCCTAAAAAAACATTTATATTGATATATTCAATTATAAGAAAATTAACAAACCGGATAAACAAATCCACCATAATCAAACCATACAGCATATACATCTGTATTTGGTTCAATGAAATCTATAGGTTTGGGTGTGGGTGTTGGTGTAGGTGTGGGTGTAGGTGTGGGTGTAGGTGTTGGTACATATGGAGGAGTTGATGGTTTAGGAGGCTTTGGTGGTTTTGGAGGCTTTGATGGTTTTACTGGAATTTCATTTGTTTGAGTTTGGTTATGTTTAATATCTGGTTTAGTATTTGGTTTTTGTGTTTGCTCTTGTAAATCGTAAATTGCATCCCTTTGATATTCAAGTGTCTTAAAGAAGAGAATTTAAACTAGATTTATTTATTTTCAGATAGATATTTTTTTTCTTTCTACCGTTTTAAGTTGAACATAATTTTTAGTATGCGTTTCATGATAATGGTTAATTTTAATTGTTAATGGTTCAAGTCCTTTTCGTAGAGTATCTAAATATTATCAAAAGTTAAGTTGATGGAAATCAATATATAAAAATTCTACCTTCTAATGAGTTTGATGAAATTGTTGTTGATCCATTCGTACCGCCAACAAATGTTGTATGTATATGACTAAATATATATATATATTTTCTTAGAAATATCAAAAAGAAAGAAATTACTGAATATTTTGAAGATATAAAAGAGTTCGTTGAAAAAGTCCTAAACTTATTTTAAGTAGATCACGACGATGTACATGAACCTAAATAATAATTGAAATTATTTTTATTTTTAAAATAATTATTTATACTTGATATGAACGTGGAGTATATATTTGTACCATATGTAAAGATGGTTGTGGAGAGACTGGCGATGGAAGAACCATAACAATACCAGGTGCCCAAAATTCTTCGTTATTATTCATTAGACGAACAAATACATAATCATTTACAAATAAATGTGGTTGAGCAATTGCACCAGTTATTGGTAAAAGAACATGTCCAGTTGCGTCTTGTTCAATACCCATATCAAATCGAACAATAGTTTTGCCATTTGTAATTCTTATTACAATGCCTATTTAGAAATTTAAAAAAAGTTTATTTTGAAATTATCGAAAATATTTTGATCAAACAGGCATAAAAGAATCCATCAGCATCAAAACGACATATAAAACGTTGACCAGAAGTTCGATCTACGGATGGTCTTCGTGGACCTTTTGGTGGTTCTTCTACTTTTGATTCCACCTGTATATAATTATTATTAGATATTCATTATTAACTAAGAAAAAAACATACATCAGCTCGTTTTTGTAATTTACGTAAATCAGTTGAGATTTGTAAAAATTTAATAGCACGATGTATTTCAGTATCCATACGAGTAACTGCACTATATGCTGATTCTGCTCCAGCTTCTTTTAATACAGTTTTTAAGAAAGCTTGATTTTTATCTTGATAAACTAAAGGTTTCTCTAATAAACTATTCGAAAAGAGAAACTCTTATGTTACATATAAAAATAATCGACATATATTTACTTCGTTTGTTCAGCATCAGTTAGTTTTCGCCAAGCATAACTTTCTAATGCACTAATTCAATAGAAAATATATGTTTAATTTAGAAAAAAATATAAAAAAATTTGTATTACCTTTCACTGGTATGTTCATCTTTAGGTATACTTTTTTCAAATCTAAAAAGACGATTGTTGTTAAAAAGGATAAAATTTTATCTAACGTTTCTTACTTATTTTGTTCATCGTTTGATAAACTAACCCAATAAATATGTGGACCAAGTCTATAATAACATACATATTTATCAATATTTCGAAATAATTTATAAGAATTTTTTGAATAGATAGATACGAAAAAGAATCAATCCGATGGCTTTATCATTTAAAATGACATGCCTTATATACCGATATATTAGATATAATTCTATACTAATTATCGAAGTCGTGAGCAGTGTTTTATCTAGATTTTTGCTTTCGAGAGTGCGATAACGATTTTCGGAAGGGTGCCGCCATCGCTGCCCTCCCGCTAGATGAATGACCGGTCGTGGGGGTACCATACATCCAGGAACTTATGATCGGTAGTGTATAACTATAGGTCATCTACGACGTTATATTTCGTAATAAAATAATGACAGACAGTTACTGATTGTATGTCGTCAAATTATTCCTTCAATCATATAGAAACGGACTACTTACCTTCGTTTATCTTCAATGCTTAAATGTTTCCAAATAAATTTTGACGTAAATCTATAAATTAACAAAAAAAATTTACTTTTTCTTTTAATTAGTTATTGAGATTTCTTACATATGATAATTAACAAGTAATTCTTTAAGTTTATTTTCATATTTTTCCAAATCAACTGCATAATGATTTACTAAACGTAATTTACCAGCATAAGATCCATATGCCAATGGTAAAATCTAATTGAAGAAAGAAAAATATTTCTTAAAATTATATTTTCAGTTAATATAAATATGTAATTTACATCATCCCAAACTTTAGATAAAACATAACGATCAATAACTTGAATATGGCGTGGTTCTTTAACCGTAACGGATGTTGGATAAAGTACATCGAAGATAGTTAAAGCTTTTGCAACTAAACTATTCTTTTTTAAATAAGCTTTTACTTCATCATATGGAGTTCTATTTAAGAAAAACAAGTCACTATTATTATTAAATAATTATAAATGAATAAATTATTACGGAATTTTTTCTGTCACAGATGGCACAACTAAAACAAGAGAATAATTTGAAATAATTGCAAGATTTTTTAATTAAATGTACCTTCTGCTTGTTGTTCATTTTCTGTACCAGATGTTGATTGTTCTTTATTTCCGTGTAAATATACTTCTGTTTCTGGTAAAAGCCATTGATTATAATTTATTTTAAGAACATCATTTGATTCGTATACATTAATTGCTAAAAATACATTCAAAGTTGAATCTTTATATTTTATTTTTCAAATCTCTACCTGATCGAGATCTTGGTGCTTTACGATTTTGAGTTGTTGTTGGACGTTTTTTTTTATTACCTGTTCGTTGTGACATTGTAGCTATTTAAATATTGTATTCTTGTTAAATGATAAGTTCATTTATGGTTAAAAAGAAAACTTGTAACTATATCCTTCTCAAAACAACTCTTACGATAAGAAGAAAAAGAATTTTTCACTTTCTGTTCTGTACACGAAGAATGTATGAAACTAACAAAAAACAAACATTTTCAACTGTAAAATTGCGGTTCGAATGAGACTATTGCTATTCAAGCGATTCTTGAAATAGTGAAAAAAAAATTTACAATCGTTTTTTGTCGAGTTAAGCATATTTTACTTGAACTTTCAAATGTAAAAGTTGATTCTAATCACTGAAAAATCATCGAAGTTTGAATTAGCATTCATACATTAATCAGTGGCGTAGCGAGGGGGGAGCAAAAGAGCAACTGCGCATTTCATTTAAAGATTTACCTATTGCAACTTAACTTTTTCAAAATTGTTTTTTTATTTTTGAATTAATCTGTGACTATATTTTTTTTCTTCGATTTGAAGCACACCCACACTGTCTGCTTGTTTTTTCTACGAAAAATTATAGAAGAAGAAAAGAATCGCTTCTTGTATTTTAGCTGTAAATTTGAGTAAACATGAGTTTGATTTTATCGGGACTCTGGTCACGTAAAAATAGTGCTGAGAGAAGTTTCAGTAAATTATCGACAATTGAAATTTGTTGCTGTTCTGCAATGAAACAAAACAGACTTGCTACTGCCTACATACATAAAGATCCAGATGAAATTTTAAAATTATATACAAATAAATTCTTGTCATCCTGATTTTGGTGGTTGAATTTGAAATATGAATGTTATAAATAGAGACACTAAAAATACATCTAACTGGAGCTTAATGCATGTTCGATTAGAAGAATTTTATTTCATTTTTTTGTTTTTTCTACGTCATCAGTACTTTGCTGAGCTAAAAAATTTTCGCCTGCCAACAAAAATCCTGGCCACGCGACTGACATTGATATGAAGTATATATTGAAAGAAGCTTTTCTTTCAAGTTTAAATATATGAACGACATAGTATGTCTACAGTTTCAATTTTTTATGATTTGTTAGTGACTAGAATATTTATTTATGGACAAAATATCAAGGATCAAAACTGAGTGTATACGAAAAGATCTATTTTACTGGCTATTGAATAATATACTTTTTTTTACTTACCACTAGGTGGTCGAGCTGTAATGTCAAGTGCACTCTGACTTTTAAATTGTAACAATGCTGAATTATTATCATTATTAGTCTGACGATTTTTATGTTTTGTTGTTTTTGGTGGTAGATTTTCACGTGGCCATGCTTGTCCTAAACATTCATCACGTAAACCAGCTATACGTTCTAATTCTTTTTGACCACGAGTTAATTCTCGCATAAGACTTCCAACATCTTCACTCTTAAAAATAATAGAAAATCTTCATAAAATAAACTAACTATATTATTTTCATAAGAAAAACCTCGGGTATTTCAATTGTTGTTTGTTTATTGATTCCATATTGAAATGCATGAAAACGTCCACCTGTTTGTTTAGCTAAATCAAAAAGAAATTGATTTGCTGTTTGATCTTGACAATTAAACGCTATTGTGTGCACTGGAACTGTTTGACGATATTGAACTTGTGAAAGAATATGTCGTTCATTCTAAAATAAAGTTTCTTTTAATCTGATATTTTTTTTCTTTATTAAAATCTTACTTGATCAGGTCGTCCATCAGTTAGAAGATAAATAGCTTCAGTAGCTGAATCAGCAAGTGCAAAACGAAGTGCAGCTAATGTATTTGTTGATCCTTCAGCATGAAGTCCATCAATCCATGATTGAAGTTGTGAACCTATTGTTGAATCACTAATTTTTGTTAAACGATCACGCCAAGGATTTGTTGCAGTATTAAATGCAACCATATTAACACGTTCTTTAGCAGATAATTGATCCTATAAATAATTTTATTTTTGAATAATTACTTTTAAACAGAAAAAGACAAGACTTATACTTGTATAAGTAGACGAAGTTTTTCTTTAACAAAACCCAAATGATGTTGCATACTTTGTGATGTATCAATTAGAACATAAATATTATTTTCCAAAACAGTACCGAATACTTCACGACTGCCTTTCTTTAACCATTTTAATCTAAGAATTAAGGAATAAAATGTATACAATATCCTTTACAGATCTTTATAATTACCTTGCTTTTATTTTTTCAAGTAAACTCCGTATTCGTCTTTCATAATCACTAATAACAAACAAATAATAATATGTATGCAGATAAAAAAGTTAAATTTTTTACCGATGAAGTTCTGGGGTAACGTGAACATGTCGAATCGTTCCATCTGGCCATGCGACATGGGCAAATTGATCACAATATATTGCATTTATCAATTTATCTTGTGGATTCTAAAATAAATAGAAAAAGAAGATGTTTGCATAGTTCATTTCATCTGAAAATGGCTATTAAACTTAATAGGATTTACTAATACGTACAGCTGGAGTGTTGTCAGTGACTTGATCAGAATCATTTGGTGGTTTTAATACCCTCACAACTCCATCACAATGTTTAAATGCTGCTGATTGAAGAACCGAAAAGAAATCAAGTTTTTGTGCATCTATTCCAAAAATTTTTAACCACTCAGCTGATGTCATATCATTTTCCTCATTATTAAATAATGTTGTTGATGGAACAACAAGACCACGTTGAATATTTTTATCACCAGATGTATTAGATGCTTCTGATGATTTTGTTGCTATAGAATAAGAACAAAATAATTCAATTGAATTAAAATTAAGAGATTCTTACTTGCAAATGATTGTACTGGAATTTGACTTTCATCTCGTACAAAACCAAGAATTTTTTCTATACGATCACTTATACTTTGACATTCGATAATTTCCTTATACATCAATGTTATATCAATTGGATATTCTGATAAAGGTGTTAAAGCATTTGTACCAATTTGTAATTTATCATCTTGTAATTTAATTCGCGTTGGATCATTCAAATTTGCTGGTGCTTTTAAATCAGATATTTCACTTTTAATTTTATAACAAAAATAACTATTGAATAAAATAAAAGATAGACGAAAAAAAATTCTCTTTAATTTTAACTAACCTTCCATCCGCTGATTGAGCAATTGAACGAAGAAATGTTTGTGTATCATTATTATGACAAAATAATGAAACAACATGTAATGGTTTTGAAGGATTAGATGAAAGACGTGTTTTAACAATATTGTCACGTAACATTTCACGAGCATAATCTGATGAATCACCTTCACTTATTAAATATATACTATGAACCTAGAGAAAGATCTTTTAATACATATAATTGATAGTAAGAGGATATTTACATCATTAGTAAATCCTTTAAGAACTGCTTCGCACGTTGCACTTAGTGATATTTTATTTCGAGGACATTTTCGATCATATACCCAATCAATCTAAATAAATATAAGAACGAAAAAATTGAAAACATATTCTTTGTATATAATTAGCATAAGTAAAGACAACAGAAAATATTGGGGACTTCCCCCCTTCTTCATCAATATAAGAAAATAACAAACAACCATATATTTTATCAATCAATTAAACTTACAGCTTGATCAATATTCGTTGAGTTAACATCCACTGGTTCTGCTCGAAATTGTTCATTATCATTCGACACCCTAATATATATATATTAATAAATGTATTAACATAGTTAGATTTAGAATTTTTATTACCAAATAATATTAAATCTTTTAATTTTTGTAATTTGTTCTTTAATTAAACTTGCTATAGCTGCTTGAAATTGATTAAATAATCGATAATCAAATGTTTTACAATCACATACAAGACATACACTTGGATCACCAATTATTCCAAATAAACGACGTGATCCGTTAGTTATAAACATTAAACGTTTTCTTAATAAATGTAATATTTTTTGTAATCGATTAACATATTCACGTAATTTCTCTGGGCGACATGTTAACTATATATGTTTAAAATAATTCACATGAAAAAAAGTAAAACATGAATTAAATCTTACAACGTATCGATCACCATTATCATGTTGTACTTCATTATAAAGATTACCAGCATATTTTGCGCTGATAGTCTTACCAACAACAGGATCAAAACCTAAAATTTAATAACAAAAGAAAAGTCACTTGAAAGGTTTCCATCGCCTTGGTGTTGATCAGAATGTGAAATTGATTTATTTTACTTAACAACGAACTATTGCTAACTTATTTCTTATAACAGATTTGAAAATGAACTGTTTAATTGATAGTTTTACGAAAACTAACCTTCAACACGTTTGAATCCAATATTTTGAAGAATTTGATCAAAGGTTAATTTTTGAGATTTAAGACCATATCTTTGTATCCATTCAGTACTTTTTAACTACAAAAATAATTTTTTATTCAATTAAAATAATATCATAAATTATTTAATTTACTTGGCTGAATAAATAAGCAGGATCTGAAGATGAACCAGTTGAAATTAAATGAGATGATGTAGTTAAATCAAAATTATGTAATTCACCAGATGTTACTGAATAAGGGACAGCAAGTAAAGCAGTAGATGAGGAAGAGAATGAAGTTCGACCAGTCTTAGATGTCGTCATCGTATATCAATCATAAATAAATAAAAATGATTGAAAAATTACTACTGACAAGTTATCGACTACCATTGTAGAGTATGTTACTATAGTAATATCACAGCCATTTATTTAATTAATATAAAATTAATAGATTAATAAAATAGAAATTAATTTTTATAGGTTATTCCATATTTTCTTTCGAAGTTTTCTTCCGATTATATATTGATTCTTTATTAATATTGGATATTTAATTAACCAATCAGAAGAAAAAGAATCCATCAATGATGATTTCGATTTGTTTTGTGTATTTTGTACTGTATATGGATATGTTCATGTTATATTATAAATTATAACGTAATATTTATTTATTGATTTCTAGATATAGACAAAATAAACGAGTAGAAAATGTTGAAAACTATTCTTCGTCATGGTTGTCGTCTACGACCCGCAATGAATATGCGTTTATCAACACCATTATATAATCGTTTACATACATTATCATCTGGAAATACAAATCGAAATGGTCAAGTATGTTAATTAACCAGAAATATTATTTTTATTTTTTCGAAAAAAAATAATTTCAATAGGTTTGGCCATATGTTTTTGTATCACGTCGTACAACGATTCTTGATCAACATGTTAAAGATGCTGGACAAATGCGTACACCACCACCAATGACACCGGCTGATATTGAATCACGTGTATTACGTATTTGTAATGAATATGATAAAATTCAAGAAGCAAATAAAAATAAAGTATACACGATTTTTTAGATAATATATTGATTATTCTATTAATCATTTCTAAATTTGTCCCGAGATATTTTTTTCAAATACAAACGAATGTCTATATATAAAAAGGACCATTACTGAGATCATTAGTCAGAACTAGAATTCTTAGGATCCATTATCTTCATATCGGAATCGTTTTCTATATATCAATTTTTCAAATAATCTTGACAATAATCTTATGAAAATGTATGATTGTTTTTTTTTGATAAACAAATGATCGAAAACGCATTGCTCTTTCCTAGAATAAATCAATTTTTGTATAAGAATATTTTGCTACAGTTAGTAGTTTGAACTAAGTTTAATGATTTATTTTTATTTAGATAACTTTGGCAACTCATTTTATGAATGATCTTGGTCTTGATAGTCTCGATCATGTTGAAATTATTGTTGCATTAGAAAATGAATTTGGTAAAAAAAATAAAAAATTGAATTTATTTCTCATTAATTCTTATCTTTAGGTTTTGAAATTCCTGATGCTGATTATGATAAATTATATACAATTCAATCTGTAGTTGATTATTTAGTCAGAAAAATGAATATCACCGAACATGCAAAACCTGTTGTTTCATCAGCATCTGATCCACGTTATGACGATCATCATCATTGATTTTTTTCTTAAACATATGTCACGTTTTTTTTCTTCTTCTGTCTGCTATTAATAACCCTACGTATTTTTTTTTTGTTTCAACGATTACATTTAGTATACACTAGATCAGCAGACAAAACTCGTGAACTATTTCATTTTCTACGTTCTTCTTTTTTTTTGTATGATCAGAAACAAAAAATAGCACAAAAATTGAGTATGAAATGTCGATAAAAAACGATTACATTCTTACTCGTTCTGTAAGAGAATGAAGCAGAAAAAAACTGATTCATCCGGTAAACGATATAACGGCGAAGAGAAAAAGAAAACAGAAGACGGCAGTAATGGCGAGAAGGGAATAGTATCTCTATTGCGAAGAAAAATGACTATTGTTAGAGACGAACAAAATGAGAGTACTACTATAATCGGATTGTAGAGAAAGAACAAAATCTTCGAAGAAAATAAACAAAGATATTTTTAGACAAAAAAAAAAGAAAGAGGTAGGAAGATAAGATATTCGTTTAACTATTATTTTTTATGATTGGTTCGGAACAAACATAAGTATATTTTGGTCCTTTAATATATGCACGTGCGTGTGTGTGTATAACAGAAAACTTTTACAACCGGAACTGCATAGAAATACTAATTATTATTTTATAGACATACACAAATAATGTAAGTATTCAAAGTTTGTTCTATATTTGAAAATTCTCTTCAGAAAGTTAGTAAGACTTAATTCATGAATAAGTATACGAATAGTAGAAATAATTATCAACTTATAGTTCAGAAGATTTTTTATTTATAGAAATATAAACTCTTCAACATACGTTTTGTAAATACAAAATTATCATATGCAATTAATTGAACATGAAAAGAGTCTAGTACACAAAAATTTCGTTTGAATCTATAAATAAATAAAGATTGATAATAAAAGTATGTCATGTAATGATGATATATCTTGTTGCATGTTAGAATTTAGTGAATTGATTCACATGTCAGATAGACAATTCAATTATTTACATAAAACTATGTTACATGAATATGAGAAATAATTTTTTCCCTTCTTTGTCATAAGTAAAGAAAACGAGGATAATAACGTTCTTTTCCTTACGTATTCTATTACTTTAACGATGTGTTTAAACATTCTAAAAGAATTTTTTTGTTTTTCATCTCTAATCCATGGATCTAATCGACGGTAGTATAGATAGAAAATTGATATACATGTTTTTTAAAGTAGTTTCATGTTAAATTAATTATAGACATATTATGGGTACAAATAATTCCAAAGAAAATCCGAACTTAATATTGTCAAATATTGATAATAATCATACGCAGCAAACATCAATCAAGAATAAAAGATCAATAATTAATAAGAATAAGAAAAAAACAATAAATTATTGCGGATGGCAAGAAATTTGTCGATGTACACATGCGGATTGGCTTCATGGAAATGCTGGTATGAAAATCTTTGATTATTTATTGTTCATATTTTATTATTTAGAATTATTTGGTTTTGTTCAACATAAATTTATTTGTAATTCAGAACTTCATAGTATATGTGCTCCAGGTTTTTGTTCGGAATCATTATCACGTAAACTTCATAATGGTTCTTATCGATCAACAACAAAAAATTTTCAATCGACAACATCAATAAAAAGTAAAAAATTACGTGAACATTTTGAATACAATCATATACCAGCAATGATTAGTTCATTACAAAATTTTTCTGTTCATGGAATTATTAATGGTTGTTCAGATCATGGTGATACAATTATGTTATTAATTTATTCGATTGTTTTAGAAAAAACAAAATTTATTATTGTGGATTTAAAATTAAATCGTTATATTTGTGCATTAGGTGATGATTATAATGGTTTAATTGACGCGAAGAAAGTTCATGCAGCTTGGTCTATGGATAGAACACAAGTTATTATACGTACACCAATTACTGGTGGAACAGCTGCATTAGATTTTTATAAAAGTATGTTACTTATATTAATGATATAGATTTTATCATTAGAACAATTTAGTTAAGGCCACCCCCCCTCGGAAAAAAGTAAATTTTCGTCAAAAAAATAAAAATTGAAATAAATGCATGGGAAGATAGTTTGTCATCTGCTCTTTCATAAATGATAAAGTTTTTAGCCGATATTCCATTTTTTTGTTTTGTTTGAAAGAGCGTGTCAACATGAAGGGCATGACGGAATCTTTTTTTTCAAACTAAGCTAGGCGATCAAATCATTAGACACCCACTTTTTGAGGATTCTAGAGTCCCAGAACTTGTAATATCTTTTTTTCGACTAAAAAGTATGTATTTTAAAAAAATGATCCCATCATCCCCTGTAGTCTGACATGTTCTTTCAAATAAAAGAAAATTAAATATATAGGATGAGTCTAGACGGTGAAATTTGCGATGCCAAATCAGCTATTTTGGGTCCTTGTTTGTTGAATATCTCTCCCAAATAACATGATATCGGACTGAAAACTTTATTAGAACTTCTCCATTTATAGCTCTAACATATCTTGAGAATTTCAAATTATTTGAATGATCTTAAGTCAAAAATCGATTTTCGAGGGGGGGGCGGCTATAATTCAGATTTCAATAAAAATAAATCTCTCTTAAGGTAGACATAATGAAGCAATGTTTTTTTTGTCTTTCTAGTTGTAAAAAAAGAAGCGAAATTATATCGTCGAATTGTTCCAATTGATATCAATACTCAATTTCAATTTTGTCCAAATTATTGGTCATCTCGTTTAGCTCTATATACATATTCAACTGAAGCAACACCAACATCATTAATTAATTTTAATATTAACTCATTATCACCTAGTGGTTCAAATAAAATTCAAAGTCAAACCATTCCATTACATCAACAACTCACTGGTTCATATTTATATTTAATGAATGTACATACATGGTCAATTTCTAAAAATCAAAATATTATAATTGATGATACTTTTCGTCTTTTATCAATTTCATATACACCTGATAGTGTATATTTAATATTAACATTTGTAGATAATCTATGTCATTGTGGACAAACATTACCTATTAGTTATTTTGATATATATCAATCAAATACTCTTCAACGTCTTCATCGTATACATACACAACTTGTATCACATATATGTCCTTGGCATATGTGTCGAAATATTTTAACACCAATTTATTCTGTTTCATCATCACGTATGGCATTTTGTACAACAAAAAATAATGGCGGTCGTGAATTACAAATATCAGTTATTGTTTTACCTAATGAACTTAATTTAAAATCTATTTGTCGTCGTATGATTATTCATTATTTAAATGAATTCAATGGGAAAATTGAAGATATTACAAGTGAACTTCCATATCGTCTCAGTCAATATATTCAATATCGGCCAGAATATCAATAAAACAGAAGAAGAAGAAGAAGAAGACTCTGTTTTGTAAATATGTATATAAATATTTATATTTACTGTATATATGTTTTCAAAAAACATACAATAAACAAAAATCAAATCTTTGTTTATTTAAAGAATAAATTTAAATTTAATTACTTGAATAATAGTCTGCAATGTTGTGGTTAATAGATAAATATCTTATAGAAGCTTTTCTTAATCATATTTTCTATATGTAAGTTTAATTCGATAAAATCTAGGACATATATTAACTGAATAGTGCACTAATAAACCTATAGTCAGAAATTATCCTATCCAAAGAGACATGAACTAATAATATTTTATTGTCAAATACACTGGCAGCATTATTCAACTTTCACTATTATCATTATTTCACAATGCATACTCGAAAGAAATATGGCTCTGTACTCATTGAGAAGCCCTAAAATAGTTTTGAAAAATTTTATTTTTTCTAGAAAATCTTTATACTTCAGTATAGTAGGATAGAAATCTTTGCTCCATAATTACTGGAAAGAACACCACAGAATTCTACTATTACCACAAGAAATCTATTATTGCTCGTCGTTACCCACAACGATCTTTCCCAGTTCACCTACTATCATACCAAACCAGTTTCTGATTTAACTCCAATGAAAAGAGTCTTTTAAAGTTTTTATAATGTTATTAAACACTTCGGCTTAACTTTGCACGAACTGCACAAACCCTAACATACTTCTGAAAAAGCTTTATATTTTACATGCAACATCACTCCTCATACTCTGAAAACCAGAAATACTAAGCAACCATTAATAACACAATACATATTCCATTTCAAAAAAGCAATTTTATTTATTGTTTTAGTCAAAAAATCATAGCACAAGAGAAACTATTCGCATGATCAACACCAGCGATTCATCCATCATACAAATACATTTCATAGTGCCACTCACACTATTCTTCCTTTTTCGTTTCGTCCAAGTAATTCTTTGATTACTTGCATCGTATCATCCCCGATCTCATTTCCCAAGACGTTTAGTTCGGTGAGTGTCTATATAAAGAAGCGGAAATCTAAGCATCGTATAGACAAAGAGAAAACGAGAGTTACTTTGTTGTGTTGTAATGCATTAGCCAAAGATTGTGCTCCGACACCTCTGATTTGGTTATAACGGAGACCTAGTGTGGTGAGTGTCTTGATAAAAAAGTGGAGGTGAAGACATGTAATACAGAAAGAGAGAAAGAAAGTTACTGTGTTGTATTGTAATGCATTAGCCAAAGATTGTGCCCCGACATCTCCGACTTTATTGCTCCACAATTCTAGACTGGTGAGCGTCTAGATGAAAAAATGAACGTAAAATTATGGTATAGATGAAGAAAGAATGAGAATTACTGTGTTATTTTGCAATGCACCACCCACATGTTGTCCTCCAATTTCTCCAATTTTATTCTGTTCGAGATTTAGTGTGATAAGTGACTAAATGAAAAAGTCGAAGTAATGGCATGGTATGGATAAAGAAAGAATGAGAATTACTGTATTATGCTGTAATGCATTAGCCAAAGATTCTGCTTCAACATCTCCGATTCGATTACATCCGAGATTTAGTTCCGTGAGTGTCTTTATAGAGAAGTGGAGATAAAGACATGTCATAGAGAAAAAGAGAAAGAGAGTTACTGTGTTGTGTTGTAATGCAATACCCAAAGATTTTGCTCCGACAAGCCCAATTGTATTGCTACATAGTTCTAGACTAGTAAGCGTCTAGGTGAAAAAGCGAAGGTATGAACATAGTATGGATAAGGAAAGAACGAGAGTTACTGTGTTGTTCTGTAATGCATCAGCCAAAGATTGTGCTCCTATATCTCCGATTTCATCATATCCGAGATTTAGTTTGGTGAGCGTCTAGATGAAAACGTAGAGGTGAAAGCATGATATACATAAAGAAAGAGTGAGAATTACCTTGTTATGTTGTAATGCGTAAGCCAAAGATTGTGCGCCAACATGTCCGATTTCATTACCTCCGACATCCAGTCTGATGAGCGTCTAGAAGAAAAAGTGGAGGTAAAGACATGGTATGGATTAGGAAAAAATGACAGTTACTTTGTTGTGTTGTAATGCAACACCCAAAAACTGTGCTCCAACATGCCCGATTTGATTGCACCAGAGATCGAGTGTGGTAAGTGTCTAGATGAAAAAGTGGAGCTAAAGGTATACCATAGAGGAAAAGAGAAAGATAGTTACTGTGTTATGTTGTAAGGCGTAAGCCAAAGATTGTGCTCTGACATCTCCGATTTTTTCGCCCATGAGATTTAATGTAGTTAGTATCTAGATGAAAATGTAGAGGTAAAAATATGGTAGATATGAAGAGATACAATAGTTCGTTGGTGTTATATAGTGTTAAATCAATGAATCGAATATTGTGCTGATCCGGTGCTAGTACCTATGTATATCAATATGAATGCTTATTGGATTTTAGATCCTGCATTGTGTGTGATAATGTTTTGTGAAATCTTGACTGTAAAGAGGTAAGAGGGGTGACGTATGAATTGAAACTTTTTATCTGTGAATCATTTTAGTTACTAAATTTTTTTGAAATAGGAAAGAGATTTTTGTTAATGAGAAATAGTTTTTAGAATACTTTTGTGTAAAACGATTGTGCAGCGTAGTAGTATGTGCTCAAATCGCAGTGTATTTTGATAAATAGTTTAGAGCAGAGTAAGGTATGGTGCCGTGCTTTTGATTTTTTTCTAGATATGACGTAAGATAGTTTCTTGCCAGTAGTTAGTAAAAGGTTTTCTTTCGTGTTTGTTTTTCAGACTCGATACGTGTTTTGTACTGAAGGTACGTGTAATTTATCGAACTCAGCGTTATTCATGCATATGTTTGATGTAAGTGAGGATAGGTATTAATTTCGATTGTTACTTTCGATGACACCGCACGGTTGCGTTCATGACGCAACATGAGTTTATAAATTAACGAAAATAGCAATGTTTTGTCTCCTTTTTTTGTCATTCTTATCTAAATATTGTATGTTGATGACATCATACCTAGTTTGAAACGTGTAATGTTTAGATGAAATTGAAAAGAAACGACAAAAAGAGTGCTTTTTCTAATTACTAGGACACTATTCTTATAATGTTATAATATGAGAAATGAGTTTTTGAGTGAGAGGGGAATAACTGATGAATTATTTTGAGTGATAAATATAGTTTATTTATGTATGTTCTATTGAAATCAATAGATAAAAATTAGAGCTTTATGATAGAAAAAGTTTACCTGATATCTATGATAACTGTCTACGATCTTGGTGAATCGTTGACACACGTTCCTCATGGAGCATATGATTGTGACATCCGATTGATGATCCATTATTCGGTAGACAAGTTCTACCGGTAAAGTGAGGAAGTTGGTGAAGGTTTGATTTGCCATTGTAAATTGTTGATGAAATGCGTGCTATGTGGACTTATATGTTGATTATATATATATACATTATTCTCTATCTTATCGTTAAATGAGTTGATATTGCTTTTTTTTTTATAGATTTCACATGATGTTGTAATTACATGTTGAAAGAAAAAACGCAAAAGAATGATATCACCTGTAGAAGGAGAAAATCGAGGTACCAACTGCGAGCAACATTTTTGTTAAGATTATTTTATCTATATGAAATAGTACATAATAGACACGAATATTTATCTTTGTTTCAAATCTATACTGTTATTCGATCGTAAAATCAAGTATATATATTTTATTAGACGGTACAGAATGTATTCTTATGAAACAGGGTCAGACGAATGAAACGAGGAAAAAAAATAGGATCATTATACTTTCATGGTTGACGAATTTTACTATACTTTGATTTGTTGTTGGACAAATTTGTCTAAAACATTAAGATTATTTCGCTTCATATATATGGAATTTTTTCGAATATGCTTGTTCACGAAAATTTCAAAAGAAAATGTGCATTTATTTTTATTAGAAACAGCAACAGTGTGAAGAAAGACGCCGCAACTTTTATTCTATTGGAAATATCAAAAGAAATCTTCGTCACAGTAGGAGTATTGATTATTTGTAACAAAACTCTATTCGACTTGGTTCTAGTTGAACCAAACAAGACTAGTTTTAGAGGTCGAATGAAATATGTCCAACTGGTATCCGGTTCACAAAAAAGAGTTTTAGCTCAACGACTTGATTCTCTTTTTAAAATATTTAGAAAATAAAAAATGTCAAAGATTACCTTATAGTTATTTATAAAAAAAAGTTTTGGATTTGTACGCTGTTCTTTGTTTGAGAAAAATAGTATCAATTTTGTATGCATATCTTCAAATTGAAAAATATTAATGTGGGTAGAATCAAAAATAGACAATTCGAGTACTAAAAGCAGTAGCAGTAAACGTTTTGTTACTGTTTAGTGAGCTTGCGCAGTCTTTCTTTCTTTATATTCAGTAATAGTAAAAATAACGGTTTATTGTTCTGTAGTGTTTCATTATTCTTGAGCTAATAAAATAGTAGTAAAATTTTGACTAAGCTGTTTGTCAGAACAGGTAATACTATACACTGTCATTAAATATGATATTTTCTAAGTAACTTTCGACCTATGGAAGATAGTGAGAATAGCAATTATCATTGTTGTAAATGAAAGATGAAGATGTATCATGTTATGAAGAGCATGTTCTCTTTTTCCTAAATATTTAAAAAAGCTAAGAAGATATAGTTTGATGCACAAATTGTTAGAAAACTATCTTTGAGATTTGGCTAGATTACAATTAAAAGTTGAACAGCAAAATATAAATATATGAGCCTCCAATAGTTTCTAGATCCATAATTTGATGATTTAGTTATATATCTGATCGCGGAAGATTTCATTGTTGTTGATAGTCTTAGATTTAAAAGTTGAATTTCAAATCTTTAAAAAGTTAGGTTCGGGGAACGCAGCATAAACTATCGTTTCATATATCTTTATTTCATCTCATCAATGGTGAACACTACAGATTGTTATTTAGTCGACATTGAAAGATATGCA